TTAGAATCCCTTTTTTTTTGTTTAAACTTAACATTTGAAACATCCAAACAAAAAAAAACAACAACAACAAATAAACAAACAAAAATTCATGCTTTCTAGTTCAAAGTTTGGCCATTTTGATCTTATCTTTGTATAGGCTTTGTAATTAGTGAAGATTCTTCTTATGATGATTAAAGGTTGAATTTGTGTTCCAATGGTATACAATTTGGGTTTGTTCTCCAACATAAATAATTGTTATGTGATAATATATATCCCTCTATATATATATATATATATATATATATATATATATATATATATATTATCAAAATAGAGGGAATTTAGAGACCGCTTAGTAGTCTCTTATATCGATTTACTTGAGACGAACTATTTTCATGAGATTGTTTGAATTAGTATATTTAATAATAAAATGCCTGAACATTAATATATTGTGGAGTTTATAATAATAATAATAATAATAATAATAATAATATTGTTTAAATTATATTTTAATTTGTAGTTCATTAAAGTGGTAAATTATAAATATATATATATATATATATATATATATATATATATAGAGAGAGAGAGAGAGGGAGGACACATCTATCCTTAACCAAAGGTCAAGGGTTCAATCCTTGGCTTTCATAATATAATGGTGCAGCCTTAAATCTCCAACCCAGTTGTCTCATCCAAAAGAGATGCCTACAATTCAGCGAGGAAATTATTCACTGTGTCCGACGGTGGAAATCTCGGATATATCCAAAAAATATATAGAGAGAGAGAGAGAAAAAGAATTACTTACGTTTTTTGTATACTAATAGTGTAAATGAATATTTGGCGTATAGTGTAGTTTAACATAAATGAAAAACCTTTCAAAAAGAAAAACATAAATGAAAAAAAAAACATAAATGAATATTTAAGACTTAAGAGTTAATTCCATTTTTTTTATCTTGGATTTATAGGTGATAGTCTATTTTTAGTCATTCTTTATTGGAACATCCACATTTGGTCCTAGTATTATTGTGACATGATCATTGTTGGTTCTTTATTAACAAAATAGTTTTAAATTTTTAAAGTCGTTAAATACAAAGGCATTTCGATCTTCAATTACAATTTTTTCAAAAAAATAAACATAAAAATATAAAAGGGTCAACTCACTTTGTATAAAAATGATCGAAATGACTTGGTATTTAACGATATTTCAATAATTTTGTTGACGGCGGACCAAAAATAGTCATGCCACAATAATACTAGGACCAAATATGGTTGTTTTGATAAAAAAAATGACGAAAACTAGACTATCATCTATAAATTTAGGACACAAAATTGAATTAACTCAATATTTAATGTAGTGTAAATACATTACAATAAAATTCTTTAAAAAAAAGTTAGAATTAAAAAGCTTATTGAGTTTTTTTTTTTTTGAAAGGGCTTATTGAGTTATTCAAAAACAAAGAAATATATAACCCGCATTAATTAATCGACCTAAATTCAATACTCGTGGTAAGAAATTTAAGGAAAAAGGAGTTATTCAAAGCACCGTTTTCTTTTAAACTTTGAAGAAATTTTACCTTCTCATTTTTTGTTTGATAACGAAAAAAATTTATATTTACTATTTGAGTATGTGCATAAGTAAATCTTATTATTGTGTAATAGCTCACAAATAACACATGAGAGATACCTTTAGTTCGTTTATGTGAAAATGACTCATAAACCACACAGAAAAGGTAATCGTACAAATAATAATAATAATAATAATAATAATAATAATAATAATAATAAAATCATATAGATTTTATCAAATGAATATCAACAAGAATCAAACTTGTAAACTTTTAGTACAAGAATCACACCTCATACACTCACTTAACTACACATTTTAAAGAAGTTTACTCGTAATTTTAATTTATCATGTGTGAGCCCGTTCAACATTTACTTGTGGATTTTGATTTGTGAGTAGGGTTTGGAAATTCCAAGTATATTTTGGATAATATTATAAGAATGATTTGTTTTTACTAGAAATTTTATCACACGCTATTGAATAAAATTGTTGATATCAACACTATTTTTAAATATAATTTCCCATATTAATAAATGCTTATTGAAAATTGGGAATACTCTTACAACATGTTTAATTGGTTCACGAAATACATTAGAAATGGAATAACATTTAAATAAAACGTATTTCGTTGTTTGGTAAGTTATTGTATTCCTGAGAATAGTATTATGGGGCCTCTGTTGGACCACATCGACGACATTCAACAACAATCAACAAAGGCCCAATGGCGATTGACGTCGGCTTGGTGATAGATTTGTTGAAAAAATAGCAAAAAAGGCAAATTAAGTGGTTATTTTGTGATACAACTATATGTGGGGTCCACTTTTGATGTGGGTCATTTCACGTGGATTCGGGTTTGATTGTAGCGAGACGAACAAATTAATATATTGTAAGCTCAAAACAGATAATGAGTTAATGAAAAATTGATTATCAAAATACACCAATTTTAGTTGGAAAATGAATGTGTAAAGTCTTGAAACAAGCACTTGTCCCACATTGGAAAAAAAAATTAAAAATTACATCACTATATATACAAGAACCTTTTAAAAGAATGTTGAATTGTATAGTATATAGACTATTTCTCGTGTGTTACGAATATAGTCTGGAAAAGTGACTGGCCTAGCAGGAACCAACCACTTGAGGATGACGTTTTCTATTGGAATCGAGAAAATTAAATCAACTTATTTTCCTCAATACTAGTTGCAGTATTTAATTATAATTTTTTAAAGTTCAATTCAAGAACGTAATTACTTTTTTTGTCAAAAATTATAAAGTATATTTGACCATTTCGGTCTCCTACTAATAATAATCAAACTTCATAACTTATATTATATTCTAAAAAATCTAAATTCAAATTCAAACATATAGCCCTCATAGGAGACATAGGTTAATTAACTTTTGTTGGGAAATCAAATGCTAGATATAGCCTGCGGCTATTCATGGTCTATATTTGTGGTTAAGCCTAAAAGGGTAATGTTATAGTCCAAAAGAGGGAAAATGACACTTTTTGCATTTGAACTATATGTTTATAGTAATTTTTTTGTTTCAATTATTTATGTATCTATATTAGTTTATCAAGTATTTTAAAAGTAACGATTTTTCACCATATTTATTAAATACGAATTTAGACTATTAAAAATAAAAATAGCAGAATTAATACGTAAACATAAATAATTCATTATTGTTAAATTTCTGTTTAAATTTTAATTTTGTTACTAGCATTAGTTTTAAATTATAATTATAGTGTTTGCAAACGGTGTATGTTCTTTTTTTCTTCCATTTAATCACATTCAACATACAAGCAATAATTTGTTGAAAAATGAAATTGACTTGAAATACATATTTTGTCATTATTTTTAACAATTCAAAAATCTATTTAATAGAAAGGGGGAGAAGTCTAATTTTGCCTGCAAGTGTATGTAATTTTGCCTTGTTAACATTCATTGATCGGGTGCACAAACTTTCACTTATAAGTGAACCTACTTTCACTTAGGTACACCAAGTTATAACTATAAGTGCACATAGATCTGGACACGTGGCGCGCGTTGAATTGTTCGCAGTTCTCTCCTGGACGCGGTTCGAACTTGAACGCGAGTCTATGTATGAGAATAACATGTTATTTTATATATCCTAACTATTTAGATTGATAACACGACAATTTGATTTTAATTATTTAATAACACTTCATTAATATAATATGGAATAATTCACAGTGGTACTGAAATAATAATCAATTCGCTAATAATAAATATAAAATAAAATAAGATACTATAAAATAAATACATAATGTGATAATTCATGAACCTAATTCTTTATGTAGTATGATGATACGTCTTTAATAGTATGCAAGTCTTGAAATATCATATTTGCTGGTGGAAGCCAAAATGGTGATTGCTAATTACTTGAAGCTCTAGTTCTCCAGGAAATTTTGGGGAAAAAAAAAAACAAGTAAATCACAATTTTTTTTTTTTTTTTTAATATTGTTGTTGTATACATTACAGGGTTCTTGACTTCTTTGTATTCTAGTGCTTGATGTATTCTGCAAATATGTAATGTCTATGATGAATACATGATCCCTAATTTGTAAGTGAGCTATAAATTTTTTTGCTTTTCATATATGTGACGAATTTTTAAAAATTCTGATAAATGATGGTAAATTTATAGTTAATTGATCCTTACAATTTGTACATTATGTATTTATGTTGGAATCTGGTGGAATCATATTGTGTGTCTGTGAGTCTATGACTATGTATATGTTGAATTGTTGAGCTATAAATTTTGGACATTTCCATATTAATGATGAATTTTGATTATAGTATGGATTTATGGCATTTATATGTTCCATTAATATGCATGAATGAAAAATTGTATTAAAATTTCTCCCTTTCAAAAAAAAGTATTAAAATTTCTCCAAAAAAAAAAACTGTATAAAATGTGAATGTTGAAATGTGGTGGAAGTTTGTTGTAAGTATTGCGTATGTTCATTGAGCCTTAATTTTTGGACATTTTCATTAAAATGATAAATTCTTATTAAGATCTGAATAATTGATTATTGATATATTATGTATTTCTGTTTGATGATTGTATAAGTCCTAAATTTGGACAATTTCATGTATATATGATTACTAAAATCTGATTATATTATTTATTGTATGAATGTCGGTGTATGTCTGTTACGGTATGTATGACTATATTGTGTATTTGTGTTCATTTGTTTACTGATTCCATCCTTATAGATGGAAAACATTAGTGGATTTGGACATCATTCCTCCTCAAGTCGTCAACTAAAGAAGAAGGGCTTTAGATGTGATTAATAAAGATGGAGGCTCAAAAGTACAAATTATATAAAATTCAGGGTCCAAGAAATAATAATTTCATTCTTAGAACTGCGGTAATTTCAACTTGAAAGGCACGGAAAATGGCGGCTTTAAAACTTTCCCGCCAAAATAGCACCATAGAAATAGAACTCATATTTCTGGAATCTTCTTGAACACGTTTGCCTGTTTCGCACACGGGCTGCATTTCAGTTGGATTAGCTCCGCGACGACTGAGAGACTGGTGATTAGCTATGGTATGCATTTCTCTCTTCATCGAAACCCTGGATTTTCCGTCTCAGATCACTGAATTTTCTATCCTTGTACGCCACTGTTTCCATTCGATTTCTATTTTGTTGGGAAATTTGATTTGTTATAATTGAAATTCCATCATTGTATGAACAATTTTGGTGGTAATTACTCTGTAGCAACGTTGAGCGGTTATATTCTTCTGGACGGATATTGTTACGGTTTTAGGCTTGTTGTAACTTGTAAACAAGGAAGGGAGTCCGATGTATATAAATTTGTGGATTCTGAAATTTTGCTTTGGGGGAAAGTGAAAATATCAATCTTAGGAGCTTTCTACAAGCACATATTGCATATGTTTTTGACAATTATAGGATATAGCTAGTCTGATATTTAGTTAGGAAGACTATTTCTGCCCTTCTATATGAGCCTAGGCCATTAATTATTTTAGATGTTCATCAGTTTTAGTGTCAATTTGAATCTCAGAATGTTTTCCAGAATCGTCTAGTTGCAGTTGCAAATTTATCCTTCTAAAGAAGAAGAGAACACACACACAAGCATGTTGTTTCATATGGACGAATGAGCCTTAGGGCTTAGGCACATATCATATATATTTTGTGAACTTGCTTCTGAATATGGAATCAGCAAAAATGGATATTCAAATGTTTAAATCATTATGGCTTAGAAGTTCAGTTTTGTGTCTGAATTCTGCGTGACTAGTACATAGTGGAGAAGTGGCACACATTGCTTTTGTGAACTTAAGCATCTGACTTCTGTTGTGCTGTTGTGCAGTCAAAGAAAAGAGGCCTTTCCTTGGATGAGAAACGAGAGAAAATGCTGCAAATCTTTTATGAATCACAAAACTTCTTCCTTGTAAGTCATGCTCTTTTTGTTCTTATGGTCTTCAAACGAATAGAGCTTTGGTTCCTTTGAAAAACCAATGCTCCCTAGACTTCACAGAATTGTAGAGAAATTCAATTGCTTATAACTTAACCTTATCCCCTGTGTTTTCTGCACTTGTACTGGCAACAGCAGAAACTAAGTCCTATTTTGTTTTTCTTACTATTCTAAATTGTGGTGTCTCTTTCTTCTGGTTTGGGGCCTGGGGGATGGGAGGATGGCTAACTTATGTCAACAAGTGAGCCCACAAGCTAAAATCTTATAATTATTGTTGTTGTTGTTATGCTTAAAAGTTCCAATAGATAGTTATTATCAGAAATTTTGAAAGTACTTGGCACTATCCAGAAGTGAATCAGTCTAAAAGCTTATGTTTTAGTTGAGCCATAAACATATTTTATCTTAGTGATATGAAGTTTATATCTTTTCTTTGCATTTATCAGTTAAAGGAGCTTGAGAAGTTGGGTCCTAAGAAAGGTGTGATTAGCCAGACTGTAAAAGATGTTGTCCAAAGTTTGGTGGATGATGACCTTGTTTCAAAAGACAAGATAGGGACTTCTGTGAGTAATTTTCCAGATTTGTGTTATTACAATTTATTTATTAAATTTTGTACTGCTAAGCACAAAATTTCCTTTGTATGTACTATGCACTTCATTATTTTGTGTTTAGGATGTTACAAGAGGTGGTTTTTTGTTACTGATGGAATTGAATTTAGTCGCATTATTTGTTTCCAATTATATAGAGGTTATTTGTGGTTTGTTGTTATGATCGAGGTTGTTCATTGTTATATCTGATTGAGCATTTTGCATATCTATTGTGTTATACTACCATTTTGAGATTAAAAAAAAAAAAAGAAAGAGGATGTAACAATGTTTATAAATTTTCAGGTATATTTTTGGAGCCTTCCTAGCTGTGCTGGGAACCAGGTGACCATACTTTACATGTTATGTAGAGTATATTATGTGGAAACTACTTTTATTGTGACAATTTAATCCATGATACCTATTTGACAGTTAAGAAATGTGTATAAGAAGCTTGAGGCTGATCTCCAATCCAGTAAAAAGCGGCATGTGGAACTTGTTGAACAATGTCAGAATTTGAAGAAAGGACGTGAGGAATCAGTAAGTGCACTGGGTTATATATGTTTTCGTAATAATCCATTTCCAAGACCTTTTATTAGGATCAGCTTATTGGCCTTTCTGCATTGGATGCATCAGGATGAACGAGAAGAGGCGTTGGAGGAGTTAAAAGCTACTGAACAGAAACACAAGGAGTTAAAGGTTGAGACTACATCCTTATGTTTTGGATAACAAAATAGTGTATTTCTTGCAATATATGAAAGGAGACTACACTAATAAGTGCATGGATGATTCATTCTGCAGGAAGAATTGGCACAATATGCAGACAATGACCCAGCTACTGTTGAAACAATGAGTTACTGATTCTTCTGATAATTCAACCAAATCATTACATAAAAAAATGCTCATTTTTCTACATGCCAGGGTATATATATATACATATATAAAGATTTTAAATCATTCTAACGTGTTGCATTCGTTTGACAGGGAATGCTGTTCAAGTTGCTCATGCAGCAGCCAACAGATGGACAGGTTTCTCCGTTTGTGTTATCGAGTCCATACCTCATTTCGCTCGAGAGTTTTTTTTTAAAAAAATGGTTTGCTTTGTTTTCTGACAAATTCTTGTGTGTTACAGATAACATCTTCACACTGAGACAATGGTGTTCTAATAACTTTCCTCAGGCCAAAGAGCAACTCAATCATCTATACAGTGAGGTAACACTTTCCCAGTACACGGATGTAAGCAGATCATAGTAAAACTTGAAGAAAACCAGGATTATATAAGTATCTCTGTTTTTGGTTTTGTTTTGAAATTCAGGTGGGAATTACAGATGACTTCGACTATGTGGAGTTGCCAGCGGCAGTACCTCATCCTCCTGTTGGAGATCAGATAGCAAGTGACTCCGTTTAGGTGGTTCTCAAGAACTTGCTTTATGTTCAAGCACACTTATTACAAACGCAAACCACCCTCCCCCAGCTCTTGGGAGTTGAGGCCTCAGCTAAGTAGAGGGCATGAGTTTCTATTGCTCCGTATCTGATATGATATTGCTACTGAATGTATATGTATAAACCTTGATTTAGTCATTTAAATCGATGCCAGTAGATTATAGTTATGCTTTACAGTCAGCAAGACAAGTATATTTGTGCTTTTTCAAGTATAGAAGAATGAAGTGGACAAATCACATTATTATTTTTAAAATACAATTTCAATTAGATGGTTGGTAAAATTGCCTGTAGTTCTTTATACATAATCAGAGGTTTCAAGTGTAAGAGCAAATATGCTATTTTTTTGTGTGTGTGTAAATAATGAAGTGTTTTGGGTTTTTCTCTATCTGTCTTACAGTTCGGATTTACCCGATTAATCTCAGTTCGTTTTGGGAGGCATGATAGTTGGGTTCAAGGGGAATCAAACTCGGGTTATCCCTAAAATCGTCCTCATAAATAAATCATTATTTGTATACTGAATGTACATTATTTGATATTATATAAAAAATTATGTATTTTCAAATAATGTACTTTTTATTTATGGTTTACACAAATGTGTGAACCATGGTCTATGGAATACAATCGTTATGCCGTGCATCCGTATGCACCGTACATGGTGCATACGGATGCAAAAATGACGTCGTTTTGACATCTAACTTAAAAAAAAAAAAAATCAGAATTGTATAACTACACATTCATAATTTCATAACTATACATCCAGAATTACTTAACTACACATCCATAATTTTATAACTATAAATTCATAATTGCATAATTACACATCCATAACTTCATAATTATACATCCAAAATTATATAACTATACATCCAAAATTACATAACTATACATTCATAACTTCATAACTATAAAATCAATTGCATAACTACACCAACACCATGCATAATAATGGTTGTATTCGAACCAGATGAGGCCGAAAGTTTTGGGTCGTCATAGTAAACCAATTCTTAGAAGTTAGAAGGCCCAAAGTTGCACTACCTCCGTTAAGTCTGAAAGAACAAACCCCTTCGCCGAGCCCGTATATATCACTCATAAACAAAAACCCTAACCCTAGAAGTTATCAGTCCTGACCGCTCGACCTCACCAGCGTACTTCTCCGCTTTCTTCCGGCTACACAGAAATCGACCATGGGTAATCTCAATCTCTCCTGTTATTGCTGGCCTTGCAGTATTTATTTTGCTTTAATTTCTGTAATTTTTCAATTTTTGATCTGGTTCATCGCACAATTCCAGGTAAGGTGCACGGTTCTTTAGCTCGTGCCGGTAAGGTGAGAGGCCAAACGCCTAAGGTTGCTAAGCAGGACAAGAAAAAGAAGCCCCGCGGCCGCGCCCACAAGCGCATGCAGTACAACCGCCGCTTCGTCACAGCCGGTGAGTCTTTTTTTTCTTCATCAGTTTCCGTCTTTCAATTATTTTTATGTGCTGGATCCACAATATCTTTTTCCCATATGTATGTGTTCACGTCTGCGTGCTACATTGTCGCATTTCAAAAATTTGCAGTAGCGACCTGAGAGCTATTGCCGCTCCTATCATTTATAGGATGTCTGAAATCTTTAATTAAGTTATCAATTATTTATTATTTTAGTTTGTCAAATTACTCTAAGATGTTGCCAGAATTCTCAAGATTGTTGTCTTAATAAGAATTCAGATCTATACCAATCTCATTTACAAGACTATTGTCTAATTGTACCTTAAGTTGATACATTTTAAGGGGATGTTAAGATGTTTAGTTCACGGGAACATGAGATTAGTGAGTTAATAGAATTATTTTCTAAAAGGTAATGTGAGGTTACATGATTTCCTCCAGTTTGATTGTAGGATGTAATATTACCTTAGAGTTCTCAATAAAACTGATAGATGTGGTATAAAGGGCAAACTGGCAAAGTGGAAATATTTTAAAGTAATAATGTAGGTAATCACATTACCCTTACTTTATCTATGTATTATTTTTTGGTTGGCGGGGTAATGTTAGGTTATCACATAACTTGAACTAAACAAGGAATTTGAAGATAATCATGCTCGCATTATCTTGGTAATGTTATATAACATCAACTTTTGGTTGAATTTTGCTTTCTGGGTTGGTTTTTATCTTTTCTATAGTTAGATTTTTGGCTTCTGAGGACTAATGAATTGGTGAAAAACTTCGTCACTATAAATTGTCTATGCCCACTTTTATAGGGATCTAATGCTTTAGTCTCTTGTGTTGTTATGGTCTCTTCTTTGTACTTATTGCTATGGGTTGTGAATTGTGATTTTTCATGTCAAAAAAATGCTGAACACGAATGTATATAAAATTTATATAATTATTGGCAGAGGAATTGTATAATCCATATATGGTTGTTGAAATTTGTAGTGATTGCTTTATGACAGATTGTAGAGATTCAGTTTTTGTCGGATATATATATATTTTTTTTTAAATTTAGTATGATATTTATGCTTGGTAGTTGTTGATGTTTTGTGCATTATTAGCATCTGTAGCGTTATTTGATTTTTTTTTCTGATCCGTGTTCTTGACTTCTTGTATACAGTTGTTGGCTTTGGAAAGAAGAGAGGACCAAACTCTTCTGAGAAATAAGTTATTTAATGGATCCTCTTTTTTTTTTTTTTTTTTTTTTTTTTAAGATATGGAGTTTGGAATTGGGATGATGGAAAGTTCCATATATCTTGTTGTTATAGAATTTCAGTGGCTGTACTACACTACAATTTCAAGCTCGTGATGATGTATGTTGAACCTCTGCCTCGTTTGTCATTGGATTAATACAGTCATTTTGTTCAATTCTCATTTTGTGCTGCGTATAGTTGTTATTGGATTAAAATACTAGGGGTGTAAATGAGTTAGTTGAGCCTGAATAGTTCAAGATCGAAAATATTTTACATCCAAATGTCATAATAATAAACTCAAAACCAAAACTGAGACAATTGAATTTCTATTATTTCTTTGTTTTTGATAAATTCAAAACAACCTTGAATTTACAAGAAATGATTAAGGCCATAGCTTTATGACCATAGTTGATAAATTATATAACTTGTTTTTAACTTTTAAGTGACTCAGTTTGTATGGTTTGCTAGTCCACTAGTTGATGGGTTGGGTTATAAAGAGTATGATTTGGCCCTTAGCCTGTGATGGGCCAGTTCGAATGAGCCAAATTGACCCATTTTGACACATTACGCAAATTATGCTGTGGACTCGTACACAATACAAATCCAAAACGACGACATTCCAATTGAATTTTTTTTTTTTTTTTTTTTTTTTGATTTTGTCTTGCCGTTATCAGCATTATTCGTTTGTGGAATTATGAATATACAGTTATGGAATTATAAATGTACAGTTATGAAATTATGAACTTACAATTATGAACATAGAGCTTTAAAATTGTAAACATAGAGCTTCGAAAATTATGAATGTACAGTTATGGAATTATGAACACAGAGCTCTGACATTATGAACTTACAATTATGAACATATAGTGATAAAATTATGAACATAGAGCTCTAAAATTGTGAACATAGAGCTTCGAAAATTATGAATTTACAGTTATTGAATTATGAATGTACAGTTACGGAATTATGAATGTACAGTTATGGAAGTATGAATGTACAGTTATGAAATTATGAACACAGCGCTCTGACACTATGAACTTACAATTATGAACCATATAGTAATAAAATTATGAACATATGCTCCTATATCGAAGCGATCTGAATTTTTTTTTTTTTTAAAAAAAAAAGATGGAAGATAATGGTGCCACTAACAACACTGTTACCGTGTCAACAATGCATGCTGGACGCGGGTCTATAGCATAACTATTGGACACATTACGTTTTTTTTTGTGTAGTCCAGAATTAATGAGTAATCTTCGCGTTGGATTGTAGGCACTTTTTATCCAAAAACAAAAATTGAACATCCTTTGATTAAGAATAGATAAATTCTTTCCACTCAATCACACCTCTCAGATTATTTTGTCACATTACTGATTGACCTAAAAAAATGTAATAGATTGCTTTCACAAATTTAATCCCTATCTTCTCACACGAAATTCATTCCCCAAAGTTACAACCTACTTTGTAATATGATACCAAGTAACCAACTACTAAACAACACAAACTTTCGCCTCATTGGCTTTTCTACGGGTAACGGAACCCCAACCCCCCCCCTCCGAAAAAAAAAAAAAAAAAAGGTGTCCAACTTAGATTAGATACAAATTTTTATTAAAATACATATAGAATTTTAGTTTAAAGGAATAAGGTTCGAATTGGTCACTGAACGTAACCTGAAAATGCAATTAGGTCACTGAAACGAAAAAGAAGTGCAATTAGGCCACTAAACACACCAAAAACGTGCAATTAGGCCACTGAACACTCCAAATATATGCAATTTTACTGGATAGCAGGTTACCATCAATTTTAGCAGGTTACCTGCTTACGTGGCAGCTGAGTTGGCATTTTTAATAAATTTTAAAGTAAATTTAATAATAAATTTTAATTTTTTTAAATAAATTTTAAATTTTACTTGATTACCATATATTTTTTTAATTTTTTAAAAAATTTATTAAAAATTATTTAAAAATGCCAACTCAACTGCCACGTAAGCAGGTAACCTGCTAAAATTGATAGTAACCTGCTATCAGGTAAAATTGCATACATTTGGAGTGTTCATTGGCCTAATTGCACTTTTTTTTTTTGTTTAATGGCTTAATTGCATTTTCAGGTTAGGTTCAGTGGCTAATTTGAACCTTATTCCTAGTTTAAATAACAAAAAGGAACAAAAAAAAAAAAAAAAAAAACGGAAATTTATTTACGCTGATGGTGGGGTCCGTCTGCAAGCGCCCAGAACATTCCGCGTCGACCGATTCTTTCAAACTCAGATTACACGGTTAAGCAAAACCGAAGCCCAGACTCCAGACACGGTGAAAAGCCTCCCAAAACCCCCACTCACGCCGGTGTCCGCTGGTTCCATCTTCCCTGAAGTTCTCCTGATCCATCTTTTATCTGTTCTTATAAAAAACGCACGCACTGCAAATTCACATATCTTTTTTCACTTCGGTCGCGATTCTCCACTGATTCTGTAACCCTAAATTCAGGTTCGTTTTTCAATTTTTCATCATTTATGCAAAAATTTCTTACACTTTCTGTGCTACTTTATACTGGATGGGATGAGAGGTTCCGTACTTCTGTTTCCTAGTTACGGATTGTGTTATTTCTCCGTTTAAATGTCTTGTTTTTGGAATCAGGGATCCTAGACTGGTGGAATAGCGAAGATGTTTTCTCGGATTTTTGGCAAACCAAAGCAGGAAACTAATGCTCTCTCGACTCTAGATAAACTGAACGAGGTAAGTGTCACTCTATGCATGATCATCTCGTATTCATGTACGGAGTATAATTTTGTCTGTTTGGAGGTCTAATTTCTTTTGTATGGGAGTTTAATTAGTTTCTAGTTCGAATGATATTCTTATGTAAATTGTTGTGCATCTTGTGATATTTGTAAGTGGTGTGCATCATTTGCTTTCCAATAAACTGCTATGATACCTATTCTATTCTGACATCAATATCAGCAGGATTTGGTTGTACAAGCTTCCTACATGTATAGGAAACATTTTGTTATTTGGAGATTTTTTTTTTTTTTTTTTTTTTTTTTTTTTTTTTTTTTTAATCTCAGGAAGAATAAATATATCTAGTGTTTTCATGAATTCCCCTTATATTTCTCTTGCTCTTAGAATATAGTTTCATGCATTTGAACTGTTCCCTGTGATTTGAGTTTCCCATCCTCCACATTTAGTCTTTTGTGCTTAAATTTACTACTTCGTTTGACTAGACACTGGAGATGCTTGAGAAGAAGGAGAAAGTACTTCAAAAGAAGGCCTCTTCAGAAGTTGAAAGGGCTAAAGATTTTACAAAAGCAAAGAACAAGAGAGGTATTGCCGGAATGCATGTGTCTTTTATTTGAAAATGTCCCATACTTATATGGATCTATGCATTCTGCCTTCTTGGCCGATTGTTATTGCCCATGAAAATTCTGTTAAATCCATTTCTATGAGGGTTAGTGAAAAATATTTTGTGTTTATTGTTATTGGCTTATTGCAAAGCATAATATCATGAAGTGGACTGATGAATGTTAGATCCCATAAAGGATTTCTACTAATTGATTTTTAACTTCTCGCACTCATTTGATAATGCAGCGGCTATTCAATGTTTGAAAAGGAAGAGGCTCTATGAGCAGCAAATTGAGCAGCTTGGAAATTTCCAGTTGCGCATCCATGATCAGGTTGACTATGATAGTTACACTTTGCACTGTCCTATGGTGTGTATTGGCCATAATTTGATTTACAAATTAACTTTCTCAATGTTCAGATGATAATGCTTGAAGGAGCAAAAGCTACAACCGAAACTGTAGATGCCCTTAGAACTGGGGCAGCGGCAATGAAAGCAATGCAAAAAGCCACGTGAGTATAAGAAAATAAATTTGTGATTGCCTGATGTAATTTTTTAAGTGCACATTAACTTAACAGCATAACTTTACGAAGGAGGACATAGTGTTTCAGAAATCAAGTGCTAGTGGCCCGTTTTCTTTTTCCTTCAGTGTTGAACAGTACATTGTAAACAGATCGCTCATCTTTAGATTCATCCTACTTTACAGGAATATTGATGACGTGGACAAGACAATGGATGAGATAAATGAACAGACTGAGAACATGAAAATGATTCAGGAAGCATTATCAACTCCAATGAGTGCAGTGGACTTTGATGAGGTTTGTCCTAAGCTCAATTTACATCTTAATTATTATTTTTTCTTTGCATTCTAGTTGTCCGGAATAATTTGCAATATCTCCAATTTTTGTCAAACAGGATGAACTGGAAGCTGAACTTGAAGAATTGGAAGGTGCTGACTTGGAAGAAGAACTTCTTCAACCAGCAACCACTGCCCCTGCCGCACCAGTGCATGTCCCAGCAGGCAAACAAGCAGCACGCCCAGTTCCTCATAGGAACACCGCTGAGGATGATGAACTTGAAGCATTGCAAAAGGAAATGGCGCTTTGAGCTAAATCCTTACGATATCTTGACCACCAGGACGTAGTACGCTGGGAATGATGGCAGGAACAAAAAGGGAAACCTCCTACCTTGGATGGTCATGAACTCTTAATTTCGGTTGTACTATATCCACATTCCATGATTTGTGACAAAAAAAATTGCCATCAATTCATTAGTTTTGGTCATTATGGAGTGTTTAAATTACTGTCCAGGTCAATATCCTTTGTACATGTATCCGTCTATCGTAGTATGTTCTTGCCCATAAATAGAATATTAAATTATCATAAAGATTTTTGGTGTGCAACTTTTAAGAATATTAGAGTATGTGGGCTACTGACCTTATTACAATTTATTACAATGTAGTATCTGTTAAAATATATATATATATTAATTAGTATGAGATATCTCACTTGCTTCCAAGCTCCTATAAACTGTGATTTGTCCATTCTTAAATGTAAATTATCTTTCGGCTTCTTGAATAGGACCTTGATCGAGACCTCTCGTACAAAATCAAACGGAGTATATTTATTTATGTGGTTGGATTCAACTTTACAAGATTTTAGTATTACAAAATCTTATATTTATTATGTTATTAGATTATTACAATATTTTTAGCATGAAAATCATATATTTATGTTATTGGATTATACAAGTTTTAGAGTTTCCTTGAATATGATTAAGTAGGGAGAGGATCCCTTAATTATGGGAGTGAGATTTTGTAATTATAGAAATGGAGACTAAGAGGATTCTTCATAAGATAAACTTGGCAACAAGAAAAAAGGTCCAAAAGCATTAAAAGATTTACTGAACTTCGTTCAAATTCATGCATAATCTGAACAATAATCATACAAGAGTTGAAAAAAAAAAAAAAAAAAAAACATATACACATGGTAAAAAGAAGGGGAAAATTCTGAAGAAATGCAAGTAAAACAGATAAAGAAGTTTACAATTTACCAAGAAATTCTGAACACATGGAAACTGAAATCCGAGTTTTTGGAAGTCAAAAACTAATAGAATATCAGATCAAATCAATACTCTAAAACAATCAAAATGCCAGTGTCAACTCCTCTAGAGACTAGAATTACATCCATCCCCCACTGCTTAATGAATAATGTAGGTAATTGCCAGAGCCACAAGCATAAGAACATATGCTATTCCTTGATCAATCGCCACTCCTGCAAATCCACAACCCATTATCACCACCATAACCCCCAATCACACTCGCATTCCAATCCAAAATGGCAACAGATTTGAGTATACGAGAGAGACTTACCATCGCTTGTGGGCGCAGGCGCCGGAGCGGAGACTTGGGCGTTAATGGAAGGAAACCCCAATGCCAAAATCAGAGCAACAACCGCCATTAATCTTGTCATCTCCATTTGAAGAATCCGCAGAAGAGGTTTAAACTTTAAACCTAAATCTGGGGATTTAAAGAGGGGTGGAGATGAAAGATAGAGTGTTGGGGAATGGAGAGGATATATCATATACAGAATATGTTGTGTGTATGGGCCGCCGTTCAATTATTGGTATCGATGAATCTGGACCGTTGATGGAGGAGGGCACATGCGTGCCCCCCTGCTTGGTTAGTTGCACGTTCTAAACCCAAGTCATACTGAGCTGTGCATAGTTGTATGGTGGACCTCATCTCAACAAAATTCTTCACTTCACAATTTTGATTTTGAATCTAACTCTATTTGCCAGTTTTTAAGTTTTAAAAATTGTATTTGTCTTCTACTTTTTGGATGGGTTTGGTTGAAATGATGTGTCCAGATGTATCACTTTTTCTAATTAAATGTTAGGAACAAAGCATCAAATAATCCATTGAATTATTAGTGTTTGTGTAATTGGGTGATTAAACAAAAAATGCAATTAAACTATTTAACTTTATAAATTTGTGCATATAGCATACATGTTATTGTGTTAGGGTATCCGTTCCAGGAAGTAAATTGATTTTATTTAATATTAAACTCATAGTGATATGGATTATTTCCCGAGTATACTTCCATGTACGTTCGGAGCGTTTGATTAGTATTCAAGTCAGGGTCGGATGTCTCATAGGGAATATTTTATTCTTGAAGGGTCAGGACCCTCACCTATATAAGGGCCTTAACCCCTCAACACAAGGGGCTCATTTTTCTGACAAATTATGCTATGCAACCGTGTACATCATGCATGGTGCACACGGGTCTAGATTCATAATTTCTATACTGTAGATTCATAATTTCTAAAATGTAAAAAAAGTTAATATTTTATATTATGTAAAAATAATAAAATATTTATTGACGAATAGAGATCAACATACACTCATAAGTACTTTCTTTTACTGCGGAGTCTAGTGTATATTAAATAATTGGAATAAGGGTCAAATAGGTCATCGAACTGCACATGATAATACAATTAGGTCACTGAACTCAAAAAACCAACAATTAAGTTTCTAAATTAACCAATTCCTAACAATTCATCTAATTTGAAGATTTCTAACAGGTCAACAACCAAATTAATTATTTTTTAAAAAATAAAATTTTAAAATTAATTATTAAAAAAAAAAAAAAAAAAACAGAAACGGCCGGAGACGAAGAAACTTCTTCGTCTCCGGCCATTTCTCTTTTTTTTTTTTTTTAATTACTTAAATAATTAATTTTTAAATTTTATTTTTTAAAAAATAATTAATTTGGGAGGATGACCTGTTAACCTGTTGGAAACTTACAAATTGGAAGATTTGTTTGAAATTGGTTAGTTTAGGGACCCGATTGTTGATTTTTTAGGTTCAGTGGCCTAATTGCATTATCTTGTGCAGTTCGATGCCCTATTTGACTCTTATTCCTAAATAATTTAACATTTAACAGTTAATAATAATATTTAGAGTAAATACTCAAAATGGTCCTTCGACTATAGCTAAATTCACAAATTAATCTTCGACTTTTAATTTCAACCAATTAAGTCTTTAACTTTGTAATTTTAACACAATATGGTCCTCTGTCTATTTGACCGTTTGTTGACTGTGATTTTTTAGGATATATATATAATTTCATAGTCCATCGTCGGTTTTTTAAGGTTCTGGTTGCATTTCCAGACCGCACTGTTACATTTGAATCCACTGCCGAAAGCAATCTACCAAATCCAGTCGCATTTCTTCATCCTCCCTTTGAATTCAATGTAGTTGAGTTCGTACCAGAGCGGAGAAGACGACGTGTTTCTGAACCAGTGCAACGTCATCCTGGAGGCCTCCACGTGCTCCGACGAGAGCTAAAGATTCTTCTGGAGATCGTCGATCACGGTCAACAAACGATCAAATAGATGGAGGACCAAATCATGTCAAAATTACAAAGTTAAGGACTTAATTTGTTGAAATTGAAAGTCGTGGACCAATTTGTGAATTTATCTATAGTGGAGGGATCATTTTGGGTATTTATTCTAATATTTATACTACTATAGAGAAAATTTCAATTTTGGTCCACTGACTATTGCACTTGTGTTAATTGCAACACTTGACTTTTAAAAATGTTAATTTAGTACTTTGACTATGTAATTTCTATCAATTTTTGTCACGCCGGCCAAATTGCCGGCCAAATCTCACCGGAAAATCTTAAACATTTTTTAATTTTTTATTTAGGGGGGCAAAACAGTCATTTTACGTTAAAAAAAATTAAAAAATTATTTACTTCTTCTTCTTCCTCAACACCTTCTGGAAGCCGTCGGAGTTCAAGCGCCAAGACCGGTCGGCGGCGGTGTTGGTGTCCGACAAGAGGAGTTGCTCCTTGGAGGCGCCGTGATCGTCGAAGTCGATACTTACTGCCTCCACCATTCGAACAGCAACTGAACCTTACTTTCTCACCTTCTCGTCGAAGTTCTCGCCGGCATTCGAACAGCAAAAAGGAATTCATCGTCGAAGTTCTCGCCGGCCAAATCGAACATCAACTGAACCTTACTTTCTCACATTCTCCTTATCTCTTTGTGAATGGAATCGAAATTGTGTCCATGCCGTCTGATTTATACTTCAGAGGCGACAATAATAATTATCCGATAATAAGTGATGTCCATTTTGATAACTCCACAGCCATGGAAACTCCGTACAGGCTGAACGTTGGGGGGGAGGCTCCTGGCGTAGATTACACTTCGGCAAGGGTCAATGGGTCATGGACAAAAGTAATAGAAACGCCCTTTTTTGGTTGTTCCATGTTGATGCCGGCGACGAGGGGAAGGATGTCGGAGGAGGGGAAGGATGTCGGAGAAGAGAAGGATGTTTAAATAACATGAAATGACACTTTTGCCCTTTTTATTTAAAATGTTTAAGTTTTTCCGGTGAGATTTGGCCGGCTATTTTGAGATTTAGCCGGCGTGACCAAAATTGATAGAAATTGCATAGTCGAAGTACTAAATTAACATTTTTGAAAGTCAAGTGTTGCAATTAACACAAGTGCAATAGTCAGTGGACCAAAATTGAAATTTTCTCTACTACTATATTCAACTAACTAATAGAAGTGTGACACATACATTTGTACAAACTTTTATGAAAGTTTTACACACAAATTTTAATTGTTATATCGTGCACCAAGATGGACCACTAATATATATTGTCATTTTAAATATATTGTATGTGTTTTTTAGTAAGATATTTATATTTATATTTTAATACATATTTATTTTAAGTATAAAATATCTAAAAAATAAGTATATAATCAATTAAAAATGAATATGTAAGTGGTCTATGAAACAATTTGCTTATAAATTCTTATTATTTAAATGATAAAAAATTACAATAAAATAAATCAATTTAAATTATATATAACTATCGAGTTCAAAAAAATCAATTAATAACTCACTTAAAAATCACACTTTAAACATGCTTGGAATTTTGTTTTTTTTTTTTTTTTGTTTTTGAAATGAGAATTTTGGTCATTTATGAGCAGAGCAGATCCGCTATTCCTTGAAAGCCCAGACCCAAATATATCTTTATGCAAAAACCCTATTCGTAAAAAACCCTCTACACTCTACAGCTTTGAGTGCTTGACGGGAAATCAACGCGAAAATGTCAGTTGATTCCACGCCGCCGGTGGACAAGCTCTCCCTGAGCGACTCCGTCGCTAAAGCAGAGTTCTCACAACGAGTCCTGATAAAGTCTATTCTTGGCCGTCCAGACGCCGGAGCTGGACTCGCCGGCCAAGTCGTCAAAATTGGTGGATGGGTTAAAACCGGCAGGGAGCAAGGGAAGGGGGCGTTTGCATTCCTGGAAGTGAATGACGGGTCGTGCCCGGCGAATCTACAGGTCATCGTCGACGCTGCCGTTCACAAGCTCGGTGATTTGGTTGCTACGGGGACATGCGTTCACGTGGAGGGACTGCTGAAGTTGCCCCCTGAAGGCACGAAGCAGAAGGTCGAGCTTCGGGTTCAGAAGGTCATCGCGGTTGGTACTGTCGATGCTGCTAAATATCCTTTGCCGAAGACCAAACTCACACTTGAGTTTCTTCGGGATGTTGTTCATCTTCGCTCGCGAACCAACACTGTATAGTCTCTTTTACGCTCTCAATTTACATTTTTTCTTTGTTGATTAGCTGATCTCTAGAATTTGAAATGCAGAGGGGATGCGAGTGAATGTTTTTTCCCAATATATCATTTTTTTTAAATGTTAACATTGTGATTTAACAATTTTAGTTTTCTAAAGGTCCCTGCGGATTCTGAACTAAATATCCAAATTGGTGAATTCATCATTTCCCTTTTGGAAAAGACTATTTTCTTACCTGAAGAAAAATTGTTACTTCAGATGAGCCTATTTTATAAAGTTTTAGTTTGATGCCTTCAAATATATGCTTTTATGAATCCTGATTTAGGTTTTCTCACTTTCCTGTCATACAATAGATTGATTTTATATTCATTGATATGGATTGTTCCTTATGACATATGCCTTCCTAGGGTTAGTATTTTTATTCAAGTTTATGTTCCTTCAGAAAAGAGAAAAGAGAAAAGAGAAGGATGATAGTCACTCAAAAATTTCATAAATGATCCTCTTTCCTGGTGTTCCTTCAACATATTGCATTGGATAATTCATTTTATGAGTTCTATTTATTTATTTATTTATTATTATTATTTACTGAAATCTAGTTTTTGCACATTCTTTTAGATTTCTTCACTTGCAAGAATCCGCAATGCCCTGGCATATGCCACTCACACATTCTTCCAAAAGCATGGGTTTTTATATGTCCATACTCCAATCGTTACCACCAGTGATTGTGAGGGTGCTGGAGAGATGTTTCAAGTCACAACTTTAATTAGTGAGGCAGAAAAATTGGAGAAGGATATGAAAGAAAACCCTCCTCCTTCTGATTCTGATATCAAAGCTGCTGAGCAACTTGTTAAGGAGAAAGGAGAAGCTGTTGCTAAACTAAAATCTGAGAGAGCGAGCATTGGGAAAGATGATCCTGGTGTTGCTGAGATCAATAAGAAAATAAGTGCTGCGGTTGGTGAGCTAACAAGGGCTAAGGAGAATCTTGCGAAGTTGGAAGAAAGATTCAAATTGGGAGAGAGGTGTAAGCATGCTGCTGGTATGCCTATGAAGGATGGGAAGATTGACTACTCTCAGGATTTCTTTGCCCGTCAAGCCTTCTTGACTGTTTCTGGGCAGTTGCAAGTTGAAACTTATGCCTGTGCACTTTCTAGTGTTTACACATTTGGTCCAACTTTTCGAGCTGAGCATTCCCACACTTCAAGACATCTTGCTGAATTCTGGATGGTGGAGCCTGAATTAGCTTTTGCTGATATTGAGGTATGCTGATGTCTGATGGTAGTAAACATTCCTACCCAACCCTGAGGACCTTTGGAGTCATTGTTGCTACCCTGTGGTGTGAATGTTTTTTTCAGGTTCTTGTATGCATGCATGAATTTGAAATTTTGAACCCTTTTTGTAGGATGATATGAAATGTGCAGAGGCATATGTGAGATTTCTGTGCCAGTGGTTACTTGACAACTGCCTAGATGACATGGAATTTATTGCTAAGTTTATTGACAAAGGTGCCATTGATAGACTTAGGTTGGTTGCTTCATCCGATTTTCGTCGGATAACTTATACAGAAGCCATTACCATTCTTGAGGAAGCAACCAAAGTCAAAAAATTTGAGAATAAAGTAGAATGGGGGATTGACTTGGCATCTGAACATGAAAGGTAATACTTTTTTGTCCTTGTTGGTGCATTACTGCATTTTTCAACTCTTTGTTCATGGTAATCCTATATTCTAGGTACTTAACTGAAGAGCATTTTAAAGCACCCACTATTGTGTACAACTACCCAAAAGGGATCAAAGCATTTTACATGAAGGTCAATGAAGACAAGAAGACAGTTGCTGCCATGGACCTGCTTGTCCCAAAGGTATGTTTGCACTTGCCAGTTCTGCTAAATGCTAATGTGTAATACCTCCAATTTTTCTAAAGTAGCAGTTTTCCCATACTTCACTGCTTCAAATGGCATGATGTACTCCTGCCAATGATGACCTAAATTCACAGGTGATATTTGATGTTAGTTAGTAAAACCCCTCATGGTATAATGCCAATTGACTCTAGGTTGTAGGTTTTTATTTTTTATTCTTAGGGTAAGAGCTGCCGAGTCATTTCAAAATGAAAGGAAAAATATCATGGTATTGGTTTCAGTTGTATCATCCTTGCACACAAACATTCAAATTACTGTTCTACTAGTTTAAAGTATGCCAGGAGCACTTATCCAAGAAAAGTAATAATTTAAAAAGATCAGTAGATGTGGATACAATCAAAGCCTTTCTGCAAAAGAGACTATAATCAAAGGCTATGTCAACATTTTTAAAAGTTGTTAATTCTACTTTTAGTCCCTCAACTATTTTTTTTTCATTTGTAGTCCTCAACTTCAAAATTGACCAGATTTGGTATGTGATTTTTGAAAAATTACCACTTCTAGTCCTAGTCAAGTACCAAATGTGGTACAAAATCCGGTTTTAAGTACTAAAAGTGGCAAGTTTTCAAAAGTTGGGTATCAAATCTAGTCAATCTTGAAGTGGAGGACCAAAAGCGAAAAAAAATGTAATAATTGAATGACTAGAACTGGCAAGTCTTTTAAAAAGACTTATTTCCAATTTAAAAATTTTGTTTTAGAAGCTTGAAGAATGCAAGATCTGATTATTTAACCAAAATCTGTCCAAAAGAGACTATCTATCAAAATTTTCTCCATATTGTTTGAAATCATCCTGTATTGTGGTTTGTTTGCCTTAGTTGAAGTATATTTTGTAACTTTGTGTGTGTGTGTGACTATGAAGTCCTTAAACTCTAATAACCTTTTGTTTTACAGGTGGGAGAACTAATCGGTGGAAGTCAAAGGGAAGAGAATTATGAGGTCCTCAGAGATAGGTATATGATGTTTTAGTGTTTGTAGTATTCTACATTTCTACTATTCTTGATCGGGTCCTCTGGTCCATGCTACTATACAAATAGAGTTTTATGTTTTTCAGACAAGTTTTTTCTATCCACAAAAAAAACTGAAATAAATTGGAGGTTTGATCCTAATGGACATTTAATTGCAGGATACTGGAGATGGGTTTGCCACTAGAGCCGTATGAGTGGTATCTTGACCTTAGGCGCTATGGTACTGTGAAACACAGCGGTTTTGGTTTGGGTTTCGAGAGAATGATTCTGTTTGCAACGGGGGTGGAAAACATCCGAGATGTCATTCCCTTCCCGCGATATCCTGGAAGAGCTGATCTCTGAAATGATGTTTCATAGATTGTTATTGGATCCAAGAGATTTTGAAATCGAAATAGCCTTGTGTGCCCCTTGAATTTCTTTACTCCCTATTTAGATAAATATGAATACATATGATGACGATTTGTCATACCCTTTTCACTGAATTGAAGATGTAGGATCTCTGTAATCTCCATTGTTCAATTATTGCACCAAGACTTTTGTAAAATCTGCTACATTACTTAACTAAAGTATATCATGAATTTGATACATATTGCCTTTGTGCATTTTGGCAATATTTGATTATTTGGTGGAGTGAAATATCAAGATTTTAGTTTTTATTGTTTCTTTGGGAAAATGGTCAAATAAGCTTTTAAACTTTACCTGAAATTTTGAAAAGTTAATAAGCCCTTTAACATGTTCTATTGAGACAATGAAGTCTAAAATCTGGTAAATGATGATAATCTAGTGGTTGGTGATGGTTGAATTGTCGGCCGATTGTCTTTTGTTGGAGATTGCCTTTTGTTGGAGAAGACAACCACTAGTCGACATTTTTTGTACTCAGGTGCGATCTTCAACAGTTAAAAAAAGTATAGAACAGATATTACGTAATAGAGTTAAAAAATTGTAACAATAATTCAGTCTTTCTACAGCAACTATGTCGTTATTTAATTTAAATTCTTTAATTTTTTGAATATAAAAAATAATAATAATTTGTTAATTTTTAATTTAATACGGAGTATTTGGAGACAATGCCTTCACCATCAGTTAGACAGTTACATATGAGCAAAATTAACCGGAATGCTAATTGCATAATTAACCATTTTGGCTTTTGCAAACTATAGTTTCAAAGTAGAGAAAAAAGAGGTAATAAAATTTAAATCGTGGAAACGATGTCGCTTCGTTTTGTTCAGACTTGAGAGAAAGGCTGAAGAGTAATGGTAACAGAGAAACATGATTTTTATTTTCTTTTTCACGCGGCGATGCAGAAGCTTACGAGAAAATGGAGGCAACCTCGAAGCAATGATTTCTTCGACGAAGAAGATCAATTCTCCCTCCCAACTCGCGATGATTCTCGCCCTATCGACTCTCATGGTCTCTGTTGCGCCCTCCTATTTGTGTATATATCGCCACTTGTTATGATGTTTGTGCATAAACGAGCCTATCTCTAAACTAGGGTTCTCACGTGCTATAGTTTACGTTTTTCAGAACAAGAGGAATTGGTTCGAACACTTGAGAGAGCTCAAGCTCAACAATCTCTCCTATGGAGGGTATGCATTCGTATCATTCATAATATCTTTTATTTTATTCTGTTTGGTTATCAGACTGAAATTTCTTTTCTTTTTGATCGTCTGTAGAGTATTTTCGCGGGGCTTCTGTTCTGCTATGTTGCGTTCCTCATTTTCTCAATATATCAGCAGGCATATTTTCCATGGGAATTGGTATTGCTCTGGGAATGCCTTTTATTTATTTATTTTGCCTTTTCCAAATCTCAACAGTTGTGGTTTTAGCTTAACTGTTTACTGTTATTATATACTCCGTAGTACTTATTTACTTGCCTAGTTGCCTGACATCATAAATTACTATAATTTATTATTGATAACTAAGCTGGGTTCTTGAAATTAAGAGGGCGTTTGGTACTGGGAATTAAAAGGTGGAAAAATTATTCCCACGTTTGGTTGCAATCTTTGACTTAGGAAAGTTCGGGTCCATGGGAATTACATTCCATGATATCAAGGAAAGTAAATCCCACCTAGGGAGGTAAGATTCTTTTTCCCTGGTGGCTAGGAATCTATCAAATTTATTCAATTACGAATTTATCTTTGTTGATGTCGGATTAAAGCCTCTTATAAATATAAAAAATTTGTTTCTCACACCATTACACATTGTTTAACAAATAAATTTACATATAGGTACGCAGTTAAAGTTTTCCGTAATCTAATTTGCAATATGATATACACACACACACACACACAAACATATGCACTACTCCATATATAACTTGATTAACTTGAGTTTAATTTTTTGGATACTTAATTAATTCGATAATTTGGTGATTTTTTTGTCATATGGTTTATTAATTTACAAGTAATTTATTAAACTCTCGATTATTTGTTATATTTTTTTAATGTTTGTTTATAGCAAGGATATATTAGAGATTATAAAAAATTTCCTAGGAAAGTTTAAACGAATCAAACATGTTAATTAATTTTCCCTGTAAAGTTATTCCCATCAAACATTTTCCCAGGAATTTAATTGATGGGAAAGTACCAAACAGCCTCTTAGTGCATACAACTATGGAAAATGATTTTTTTTTTTATTTCTTTAAATTCTGAAAATGGTTGGAAATGAACAATTTTAGCTTTCACAATATAAATAAGAAAACCATAGGTTTCATATTTACTTGTTCCTTATTGTTTTTCCATTTTTATTTTCCTAGAACACACTTCATGTGATTGTTATCTCCATATTTAGAATTTGATGGGTTGGTATTAAACAGTTAAAAGGTGAACAGTGGCGTGTATTTTATTTTTATTTTTCAAGCAATAGCTTCCATTTGAGTATGATTGTTAGGACTCATGTTTGTTGTTTCTGTCTAACTGAACAGCGATATCATGCTTACTTCATGTATGAAGTTGACCCCCAGAGCATCATTGCTGCAGGTTTATACTATTTTTTTCTGTGCTTTAGTTTCCTAGCATCTTAGAGGTTATTTTGTAGTATAAGATTTGCATAATGATAATGCTTTAGCTACAGTAATCTATAAATACATTTGTTTGAAGCTTCATTTACTTTGAGCATTTTTTCATATGGCATAAGTGGTGTTGATCTTCTTCCATATGTGAAGATATCAATTTTTGATTTACCTAATTTGTGAGTTCTTAAAGGAGATGGCTGGGAGAAGGGTAAAGGGGCATAGTTGGTAATTGGTGTAGCTAACCAAAGGAAACAAGTAAATTATTTGGATTGTTGTCTAGAGTTAAAAGAAACATCGAGGATTTCATTATATACTAAATTAATAAATATTTTTATGAATGTGGTTTTGAACTGGTTGTATTTGTATCATAGTGATGCAGTTTTTTTATGTTACACCAAGTCATTTTGTATTGCATTATCACATTGGAATCTCAATTGTCTACAGATTGGGTAGCTATTATGGTGTGCTTGATGACCATTAAGGGTATGCTGCATCATTCAAAGTACCAGAGGAAATGGCTTTGGTTTTCCTGCTGTCCTGGCCTATTGTTGGCAGGGTTTTGGTTGCATCATATGCTGAGGTAAGCTCTCTCTGTGAAGAACAAAAAAATAGAGTTCTCTATGACCAGCAGTCTTTTAGCAGTCACTATTATTGTCCTTTGTTCTACTGAATAGAGAACAAAAGTAAATGCTACTATGTTCGAGAACATTATGCACTCTTGTCTTTTATTTTTTGATAGTGAGGAGAGGTAATTTCAATGCTGCAATCTGTGCACTATGTACATACTTTTTTGTTACTATGTGCCTTTACCTTTTATTCTATACAGCTTCAGTATTGCTATTATCATAGTGTAGTTTGGATATAGTATCAGTACTATATTGCCATAGCTGCCCGAGTATCAAAACTACATAGTTGTAGGATCAGAATGACAGTATTGTATCAATATGATGTTGGATAATATTAATGGTGAAGACACAGTTTAAAACTGTATCCACGGACACGTTGCACCATAGAAAATTCTTAGTTAAATATATTCCGAAAATTTCATGCTACCTGGTCATCCTGCTGCCAAAGTGTCTTCTGACTTACAATTTTTTCTTTTCAAGAAATCACCCTATTGCCTTCATCATTCAATTCCTCTACCTCTTATTGCCTAGGGGTGATATTATACTCCTTTGTGTGCTTGTAACCTTTACCTACATTTGTGATGCAGGTTGGCAAGGTTTAGATGGGACATTTTATGGCTTCCATTTGGGCCACTGGGGTAATTCTGTTTTTGGTTTGTCGTAGCTCTTATCTGCTGACTAACCTGATTCCTAAAGATGTTCATCATTCTCCCATCATTTGCAGTGGAGCCGGGGTCTGCCTTTATGTTGACCATTTACTTAATGATTCCTCTGAAGAAGTGAGGAAGCTCCGTAGTTATATGTATTCTTTTAAGGCAAGTTAGTGGATGTGCACTGATTGATTTATAAGCGGATATATCATCATTCAAAGTCACATCAACAATGAGATTTTTGGCTCGCTGAACTATACTCAAAAGGTCAAGTCATGAGAGCATTTTTTGTTCTCAGATCAAGGTCCACACCACAGTGATTCTTTGTCCTTGAAATGTAAACTCTTGTGGCATGGCTTGTTAGGTTGTGTGGATATCATCTGATCCTCTTTAACTCAATCCTAGTGGTTTGTTGTGCTTAGGGTCTCTATCATTTTTTCTTTCACTTGTAATTACAGGGTACTATTTTCTTTCCTTCCACCCACTTGTTGCTGTTACAATTCAATCTCTATTGCGTGTCTCATGACCTTTATCGTATGCAAGCATTGTCACTAAAATATTTCTTTGATTTAAGGGATAGCTCGCAGTTATTGTGGGAAGGTAAATTTTGGTGAAATGTTGTTTGTGAGTTGAACTTAGAATAAATCAACTATTTAACTAATTTAGTTGGTATTTCCTGTAACTAAAAATATATGCAATTATGGTTTCCTAGTTTTACCATTTTCTTTGTTGACACTTGTACACTTAGGAACCTAAAAAATCTCCTCCCCTCCCCACTAACAACAACTATGCTCGATATAATTGTATTATTATAGAAATACATATAAAAATTATTATACTATAATGACTTATAATCTTTTCAAATAATGTAAGTGTATAATTAAAATAATTGAGCATGTGTTCCATTAATGATTTTATGCTCAACACGCCCCATCACGTGTGAGGTATGACTCTGATACTAAATGAAGAATGTGTTAAAAGTCTAAGTTGATAATTACATTGCACCTAAAAGTCTAAGCTGATAATTAGATTGCACATTAATGATTATATGCTCAACAAAAATATTAAGGGTGTGTTTGGTTCGCACATAGAAATTGGAATCGGAATGGGTATCAAATACTTGGTAATGGTAATGGGTTTTGGTGAAAGTATTTAACATGTTTGGTAGTAGGGTGGAATGAGAATGGTTACTAATAATAGTGCTTGAGAATGAATAAGGGAATTAAACCCTTATTTTACTTGGGTATGAGTTTTCCAATTGATGGGGTATTCGAAACCATAGTAGTGTTCTAAAAACTCATCAACCAAATAACAACAATCACTTTCATACCCATTCCTATGGGCAAAACCCACCAACCAAACACACCCTAAGTCTTGTTCTAATTAATCAAAAAAAGATTAATTAAACTAAAAAAAAAAACTAAAAACATAACATAGATTCGTTTTTTTAAATGCAATAAAATGATTTTCAAGATTTCTTATTTGTAATATTTGATGCTCAATTTTGAATGCTATGTATATAGTCTGACTAATTAATTGATCGAAGTTTATGTTAAATTTTATATTTTATATTTTACGGAGTATTTTTTTTAATACACTCTAACATATTCCGTTATATTTATTTTGATTTTTTTTTTTTTTACAGGAGCATAAAGAGTTAATGCCGTATCCACTGAGGTTCGAACGCACAATCGTAACCTTGATGTCATTAAATCACAAGGTCTCAACATACTTATTTAGATTATTAATTTGGTAATCATAAAATTAAGTGGTAGCACTCAAATACAACGAATCATCTTTGACCAACAACGGCAGACTATATAAAAATGATGGGAGGATAGTAGATGCACTGCATAACATAATTGATAATTCCCCAACTGGGGAATACATTTCTCATATTCCAAGTATCTAATACGGGGTACATTATTATCAAATAAAAAAGTAATTTATTATATATATATTTTTTACTATATGGAGTAATTATATATAAGCGCACTGAAGTGAAAAATAATCAAAATTCGCTGCGGAAGTTGTGACTTGGTGAAAGACGAGAATAGAGGAGGCGAGGATGGATTTGTTACCGGCGGAATCATCGCAGATGCTGCCGAAGAAACACCGGTTCCGTTCATTGAAACTGGTGAATGTGAACATGGAGGAGGCCTTGTCGCAGACGCCGTACGGAGTCGACTACGGCCGCCTCGACAATGGTCTCACTTACTATGTTCGATCCAATTCCAAGCCCAAAATGAGAGCTGCTCTCGCACTCGCCGTCCGAGCTGGGTATATTCTTGTCTTTTCTACCACTATGCCTCCTGATTTCATTTCTTCTACTGTTTCAAGTGCTACGGAGTATGCATCGGCACTGCCTTCTGATTTTTCACTTCCGTTTCTCGCAAAATTTTGAGTATCACTGTTCCTTAACTATTGATTGCGTGATTATTCTTACCAACTGCCGCAGAATAGGTGATAAACTACTCTAATGCTCTGTAATATGGTTGAGCAAAGGAAGAAATTGATAATGTCCTTCTGAATATCAGTTTGTGGTGATCGTTTGCAAATTATGAATGATTTTAATGTATTACTACTAATGGAAATACAAGTTCTCATCTCAAACTTATGAGAGGTCTTACTTTTAGGGAATTATTATCATTTAAGCTGTGTGATTTTAAATTTGCTTCCCTGAGATTCCAATTGTTCAAAGATCAAAGGTTTCTTTCAAACAGAAACTCCATTTTCAATTCAGTTCGTTCAGTGAAAAAAAAAAGGAGAATTTAGGGGACCTTTCAGTGGTTTTACTTTTTGTTTGCGTGTAGTATTTGCTTATTTGGACCATGCATGCTTTCATAATTATATTAGATATACTGATTTGCTAATCAAGTTCAGTTCAATTCATGGCAGCTCAGTTCTAGAAGAGGAGGAAGAGCGTGGGGTTGCTCATATAGTAGAACATCTTGCTTTTAGTGCCACTGAGAAATACACAAATCATGATATTGTTAAGTTTCTTGAAAGTATCGGGGCAGAATTTGGTGCCTGCCAGAATGCAGTCACATCTGCTGATGAAACTGTTTATGAGCTCTTTGTTCCTATTGACAAGCCCGAATTATTGTCTCAGGCAATTTCCATCTTGGCAGAATTCAGCTCAGAGGTGTTGATAGTTGTTCTTTTGTTTTATAATCTTTGAGATCATATCATGTTTTATAATCCCACTCATTTTCATTAAGGTCCGAGCGTCAGAACATGACTTGGAAAAGGAAAGAGGGGCTGTAATGGAAGAGTATAGAGGAAGTAGGAATGCTAATGGACGGATGCAGGATGCACACTGGGTCCTGATGATGGAAGGTTCAAAGGTAACATTTCTGGTTTAATTGATTGAATTCCTAGTTTTCATCTCATCTGGCCATCTAAATCAAAATTTATGGATATGTACTGTACATCTTGTCTAAGAGTCATAGCACAATGAAGAATATAGCTGGTCCCATTATCCTTTTCAATTACTTTTAGGGAATCTCATTGTTTGGTAACTATCTTCTTTGTTAGAACCATTATATCTTTCTAACTATACTGTGCTTATAGGTCTGGTGTTTAAGAGTGTAAGAAGGATTAAATTGAAGGATAAAGTATATTTACCTCCTTTTGTTTGATTTATCATTCCTTTATACTTTTGTTCTTGGTGTTGACTCAGAAAAGTTCATGTCTACTAATATAAGAACTTAGAAGGGGATTTTCAGATATTCAACTAGACTAGATTATGTTGTGTTGGATAATTTGCTCTGGCAAGAACAAGGAAGGATTAAGAGGACAAAAATTGGATAACACTTTCAAGGCGAACTAGGTTCACTTTCCTAAAAGTTTCTTATCAACCCTTTACCATAGCAACACTTTACCATAGCAACAGGATAAACAGATAAGAACTTTTGAGATACAATGTAGGTGTAACAATTGAATTTGGTTGCTTGACAAATTCAATCACAAGGGTAAATACGAGAAGATATTTGTCAACGTGTATTCTACAAAGGAGTACATATACTTCAATGAGAACGAATCCGGAAAAACTAGGAAATAGAAAATAATTTCCTATTAAGGAAATAAGGAAAATAATTTTTCTTCTTTCATTTCCTCACTTGCTGCCATTTTGCTGTATTACCTTTGTACATACATGCTTGTACCTTTGCCTATTTATAGGCAAAAGAATGGAAGTTACAAAGCATTTGAAATTGAAATTTTTAATGCTTTTATTAGATAGGAATTATCCTTTTTCGAGTTTCAACTGTTCAGCCGCCAACTTTAAACAACTCAAATTTGATTTTTCAAATTCTTCATGTCCGAATTGGACTTTTATTAGCATGGAAGGAATAATTATTTGTACATACATATATGTATATACATACATATACACATATATCGTACATCAAATGCTATAAATGTCAGCATTTCAATTACTCCAATATTCCGGCGCTAAATAGTTTACCAATTTATTCAGCAAAATCATTTCATTTATAATTTCGCAAGCTTAATCGGGATAAAATAATTACCTCACGATTAATAATCTTATCCATCATCTAACATTAGATGTGATTATTTATACACTCCACGACTCCAAATAGTTACACAAATGTTAAATCACATGCACATAAATAATGAATATTATAATTTTCCAACATGTTGTGGATTTGGTTTCATACTATAGATAATGGATAGAATACATCAGTAATCAGTTTGCTTTAGTTTAACTTTATTAATTGCCAAGAGCACTTGAATTCTGATTTTTGGAAACTGGGTCTTCTAAGCTTTTATTTGGTGCACTTTGAATGATGTTCTTTTACTTGGAATGCCTTTTTGATGTGGGTATGAACTTCTTCACTTGCAGTATGCTGAGCGGCTGCCCATTGGACTGGAAAAGGTGATCAGGACTGTTTCTCCTCAGATTGTGAAACAATTCTATAAAAAATGGTATCATCTGCGAAATATGGCGGTGATTGCCGTAGGGGATTTTCCTGATACACAGGTCGGGATAATGACACAGATTTCTTTTATGTATATAAAGGAATTAGCTTGTACTTCATAATGCATCTGTTTTCTTCTCTTTATGGCAGAGTGTTGTTGAGTTGATAAAGGCCCACTTTGGATATAAAACATCTCCACCTGACCCGCCTCCTATACCATACTATCTGGTTCCATCACATGAAGAGCCACGATTTTCATGCTTTGTGGAATCTGAGGCAGCTGGAGTTAGTATTTTATTCTATTCTTCATCAATTTTTTCAGATATATTATGTTTTTATGTTTCGCATTGATTTTCTAATAGGAAATTTTACTTTTGGATTGTCTTTTGACAGTCTGCTGTGATGATTAGCTGCAAAATGCCCGTGGATGAGCTTAAAACAGTGAAGGATTATCGTGATTTGCTTGCAGAATCCATGTTTTTCCATGCCTTAAACCAGAGATTTTTTAAAATATCTCGTAAGAAGGATCCACCTTATTATTCTTGCTCTGCTGCAGCAGATTGTCTTGTGCGTCCAGTGAAGGCCTACATTATGACTTCATCCTGTAAAGAGAAGGGTACTGTTGAGGCTTTAGAGTCGATGCTGACTGAGGTGTGCTTTTCTTTATCCTGATATTATGATTTTTTTCCTTTGTCTTTTCTAATAACTTGGATTTCAGGTTGCTAGGGTACGACTGCATGGATTTTCTGAACGTGAAATATCTGTTGTTCGTGCTTTGCTGATGTCAGAGATTGAATCTGCCTACTTGGAGAGGGATCAGATGCAATCGACAAGCTTAAGAGACGAGTATTTGCAGGTGCATATACTTGTTTTCTCTTTCTGTTGTAGGACTCTGCTTAGCTTTAATTGCTGACTTCTTTATTTTCAGCATTTTCTCCGTAACGAACCTGTTATTGGGATTGAGTATGAGGCACAACTTCAGAAAACTCTTTTACCTCGTGAGTATCCACTATTATGATCTTTCAAAAAATCTGCCCTTAGGCTCTTTTAGACAGGGAGAATAGGTATAAATTGCTTGAACTTTTCTTGTGGTTAGATATATCAGCATCTGAGGTGTCTAAATACTCAGAGAGGTTTGGGACATCATCTAGCTGTGTAATTAAAACAATTGAGCCCCGAGCAACTGCCACAGTTGATGATCTGAGATCTGTTGTTTTGAAAATCAATACATTTGAACAAAAGCAAAGCATTCCTCCTTGGGATGAAGAAAATATTCCAGAAGAAATTGTCTCTGTAAAACCAAGTCCAGGGTAAGTCACATCTTTTTAGACAAATCTTTTGCATCGGATATTAAAAGCAGTCTAGTCTCGAAGGATTAACATTGTGACAATTTGTTGTTGCTATGTTTAATGATTATTGTGTGGTTGTCATGCCTTTTCATTTTTATGAAACAGCCAGATAAGTCATTGTCCACGAGGGTGATTTTTGTGAATTAGTGTTTTTCTGGGAGCTGTAAGGATTCCAAATATATCACTTACACCATGTCCACCTTTTGTATATGTGATTTTCTTGGTCTGGCCACTGCCTGTATTTCTTGAAAATCAAACTTGAACTTTACAGTTATAATGCATTCAAGATGCTTGGGATATATCCTATGCAAATTGTGGATAATTTCACAACCACTTTATGTGCCTTGGTGCTCACTTCTTTACCATCCTGATATCTTGTTCAGGTGGATTATGCAGCAGTTTGAATATCAGAATGTTGGGGCCTTTGAGTTTGATTTATCAAATGGCATGCGTGTCTGTTATAAATGTACCAACTTTCTTGATGACCAGGTATGAAATTCCTAGGCACCGTGTTCTATTAGTTTTGATATTTCTATGCATCCCAGTACCCTTGAAATGTCCATGTCTTTTGAACTCTTAATGCTCTTCCTTCCCTTGATAGCATCCATTGTAGAATTTTGATGAGGATTACAAGCCTGCAAAGTCTGGAAGTTACTATTCATGTAGGGAGTGATAGCTGTATCAGAAAGGGGTTTAGATGAAAACTTATATATAATAATTGAATTGTATCTTACAAAGTTTCTAAGGTTCCTAAAATTTCCATCCAGAATTCCTCAAGAATTTGTTGGTTTGGATGTATCAACTTGTTATGGAATGTACAAGTAATATGGAACCTATATATATTACGCAACTTGGACTCTTGGAGATTTATAGGGATTTGAGTAAGTAGTCATATGGAAACTTATTTCCTTATTAGAAGTCTTGTAGCATGTATTTATAGGGCTGTGTATTCGGTATTCCCCTTTCTAAAACAGATTTATAAACCTTCTATTCACTTTCGTACAATATATATTTTGTTATTCCTTGATTCTTCATCTCTGCTTCCGCCTAACTGGCGGGTGGTTGTTATTCTCCACCCGCCAAGCCTTTGGATCTTTCAAATTCAACACAACTGAATCAAAATTGGTTTATTGTGTTAAATTCATTTTTCTTGTGGGTTGATGGGGCCTTGAGCATGAACCTCCTGTCCTACTGAAAGTTGATGGAGAGCCAGTTCTTCCCTAGGTTTGAGTAGTTGGCCAGAAAATGGATGATTGATTAACCATGTCAGTCTCTCAGACAACATACATTTTCACATTATTTTTTGTAGTTTTTATCCCCAAGAGTGGTATCAATTACCACGATTGTCCTTTTAGCGTTTGGTGAAAAGAATTGTAATTCCGTGGGAAAAGAATAAGGTGAGAGAATAAAGTAGGAATTCAAATTACATTGTTTGGTAGGGAGGAATAGAATTATTGGGAATGAGAAGGGAAGAAGTGGTATAAAGACTAAAATGTCCTTGTGTAATAATAATACTAATAATTATCAAAGTCTTTTTCTTCCTTTTTCCCTTCCCTTTCCCATTTTGTATTGCAATTTTCTTTCTGAGGGAAGATCTAATATACTTTTTTGTCTATCCACTTATGAGTTGATGAAATGCTTTTTATTTCTATTAACATCTTGTTTAAATAGGTTTTATTCACAGGGTTTTCATATGGGGGTTTGTCTGAACTTCCAGAAAGTGAATACTTTTCATGTTCAATGGGCTCAACCATTGCTGGGGAAATTGGTGTTTTTGGCTATCGACCTTCTGTTCTTATGGATATGCTTGCTGGAAAACGAGCTGAAGTTGGTACAAAGCTTGGAGCATATATGAGATCTTTTTCAGGCGATTGTTCACCTTCGGATTTAGAAACTGCCTTACAGGTTTGCCCTTTCTAAAATTACCAAAGAAAAAGTTTACATGCACTAGAGTTGCTGTCTAATGGATACACCTCAAGCATGTGTTTTTACAACTTGGAATGGTATGAACTGGCTGGTTGCTCTAAGAATAAAACCTTGTAATGAGGAATAATGTTGTTTTTTAGAAAGGTTGTGGTCCCTGCAGAGTCTTGGATCAAACTTTATTCATTTCATTCCGTATTATACTATTATGATGCACAGATTAAGCTACTTGAATCACATCTGCAGTATAATAAATATAATGAAATTGATTGTTTTAATTGTTGTTCAATCAAAGTGAAGCCATCCTAGAATTTCTCAATATCTTTTTAGTTGTTGACCATCCAAAAATTTGCACTTGTTTTGTGATGTTAACCTGCCTGCTTTCTGCAACATGGCATTCCCCCTACCCCAGCTCGTATATCAACTCTTCACCACAAACGTGGAACCAGGGGAAGAGGATGTCAATATAGTGATGCAAATGGCAGAAGAAGCTATACATGCTCAGGAGAGAGATCCTTACACTGCATTTGCAAACCGTGTACGGGAGCTCAATTATGGGAACTCCTATTTCTTCAGGGTAAAGTCTAATCCCCTTGCCTGTCTTTTCATTTTAGTTATATGCTTAGCTAATTTATCATTTCATTGAATTTTCTTGTGCAGCCAATTAGGATTAGGGATCTTCAAAAAGTCAATCCATATAAAGCATGCGAATATTTCAATAATTGTTTCAAGGACCCCTCAACATTCACTGTTGTGATTGTCGGGAATATTGACCCTGCCACTGCTTTTCCACTAATATTACAATATTTGGTAAGCCATATGACTTCCCAAAGTTTTAAGCCCTAGAATATTGAACAATCTATATTTTGAATTCCAATTCTTTATGCAGGGTGGAATTCCAAGGCCTTCTGAACCCATCCTGCATTTCAACCGTGATGATCTTAAAGGCTTACCATTTAAATTTCCTTCATCCATAATTAGGTGGGTTTCAGTATAAATTTGTAGTGCTTGTCTGTAGTTGGATTGCTAAGTATGAAAAAAAAAAAAAAAAACTTGGGTTCATATTCATCTTTGCATTATTATGTGATGAAGTGTCTGTTCATCTTGATCACACCGACTCATTTAACAAGTTTCATGTGCTTGTAGAGAAGTTGTTCATAGCCCTATGGTGGAAGCACAGTGTTCAGTCCAACTATGCTTTCCAGTTGAGCTTAAAAGTGAAGACATGGTATGGAGTGTATTTGTTTGTTTTTAAGTCAATACCTGCTGTATCTAAATGAACCTTGTTTCGTTTTTATAAGAGTTTTTAATTATATACTGCTTCATTTTATGCCTACTAGATGGAAGATGTTCATTTTGTTGGCTTTCTTAGCAAGCTTCTGGAAACTAAAATAGTACAAGTTCTACGTTTTAAATATGGCCAGGTGCATTCTCATCTTCTCCATCCTTTCCTTTAATTGGTTTCTCTATAATATACTAATTCTTGTGATCCATATTTTTCATAGATATACAATGCTGGAGTTTCTGTGTTTCTTGGTGGCAATAAACCTTCGAGAGTTGGCAATATTCGCGGTGATATTGGCATCAACTTTTCTTGTGATCCAGATATTTCATCAACATTGGTCAGTTTCCCCATCTTATATTTGTTATTTCAATTATGTCTGGTAATTCCTTATGTTACACTTTTCTTTCTTGAAAAGGTTGACCTCGCATTAGATGAGATATTGCGGCTTCAAGAGGATGGACCCTCTGATGAGGATGTTTCAACTGTGCTAGAAATTGAGCAGAGGGCACATGAAAATGGATTGCAGGTAATGTTCACAACAAGATATTTGTAATTTGAGTATATTTCACTTCAGGACACATTTTGTGAAGACTTGTTACATTTGAAGGTTTAAATTAGTAGTTTGAAGGTGCTCCCAGTTAACCAAGTATCTGTATAGTTTTAAAATTAATTCCACATCAATCTCTTTGATAGTGCTGATGCATTTGTGCTATTTCAGGAGAATTGTTATTGGCTGGATAGGATATTGCGCAGCTACCAGTCACGGATCTATTCTGGTGATGTTGGTGATTCTTTTAAGGTTTGTCTCATTCATATGTAAAGTTGTTTCCTCGCATTTCAATTTAAAGTTTTCAATTCTACTTTGAATGTAGTCAATTCATGTACATAGTAGTAAAATAAAAGTTCTTTGTTTTGAGGTCTAAGCACAGCTGAATTCCTCTTTTCCCCCAACCTTCATTAGACTTCCACCTTTAACGCAGTGTTTGATTTATAAATATTCATTAGGCCAGAGTCCTCCTAGATAATTTCTTGACACTCTAATGCAGGTGCAGGACGAGGCACGTTCCAAAGTTAGAAAACTATTGACTCCACTGACAGCCCAAATGGCATTGCAAAGAATCTTACCGTTTCCTTGCAAGAAGCAGTATACTGTGGTAATTTTGATGCCCCAAGCATCTCGTATGAAAAGACTAAAGTCACTTGTGTGTTCTGCCCCAAAACGGTATTGTACAGATGCAAAGGTTAGTCCTGTCTAGTTTATGATATTATGATTCACTAAATTTTCAGTGTCAAAACATAGCCCGCCCTTTGTTAGGTGCATGAGTGCATTAGGCTCTTTCCACGTTACATATGGCCCCGTTTGGTAAATGGCTGTTTGCTGTTAGCTGATTGTGTTAATTAGAGGGTAAAACTAGTTGATAACATTAGCTGTTGTAGAAAAGTGTTTGGTAAATTAGCTGTTAGCTGATAGCGGTTTGGTATAATTTCTTTTCTAAAAAAGCTAATTGAAAAAGTTGGTTGGAGTAGCTTTTTGAATTTTAGCATTTTGGAGTTGCAAAAAGCTAATGAACCAAACACTTATGTTGATATTTTAACTAAATCAAACAATTAATAGTGGTCAAATAAGCCAAAATTGGCCTATAGGCCAATTTTTTACCAAACAGTTACATTTATTTATGTTTGAATACTGTCCCGTTTCAGATTTTGGCGGGCACAGCTGGTGTAGCGGTTTTGCTTCTCACTCTATGGAGATATTCACGGAGCAGCCTGAAATCGTAATTTGGAGAGAGGATGATTAGGAAGGAAGGAGGGCAGTGAAGAAGAATCCATTGAACCCTTCAAAAACGGAATCGTAGTAGCACTAGAAGTACCGGGGTGCAGTTAGTAGCCTCATTGCTTCAAATAATCAGCATCGGCATCAGCCTCAGCCTCCTCAATTGTTGTACCATAGAATTGATTGGTTGTGCAGATTGTTAGGAATGGCGTAACAGGGTGGGTGTGGGTTAGCAGTTCATTCTCATCTGAACACCAGCTTCTCCTATAGTTTCTAACCTGAAAGATTGCTGATTATGCTTTTCTTATTCTAGGTATAAGATTTTGTCACATTAGACAAAAATAAAAATGGGGGCTTTAACAACAACAATCAAATATAAAGCTTTGAACAAATGGGATTAATTGCGCCTTCATAAATGAGGTGTTCACTCAAAGTGCTCTTGATAAAATTTGGTGTGGTGTTTTGGCATCAATTTTTATTTTTTATTGGATAGAAATGGACAAAAAATCTCAACTTATTTTATTTCTACAACACTTATCAATCAATATAATCAATGCAAACAATCCAAACTTGCCTAATCTAACTAACGGTTAAATTTTGTCTTCTTCTCCGTTGATTCATTGGCAGGTTTTTTGATTTCATTGTATCAAAATACAATAGTGATAGATTTAATTGCTACCTTAAAAAGTGTAGAAGCCTAATTAATTTTTTAGGTAAAGTTTGAAGGCTTATTTTATCATTTTTCGTTTTTTTTTTTTTCAAAACATTCTCATTTAGTCTTAATATTATTGTTACGTCATTGAACTGCACACCAAAGTGGAATAAGGGTTAAATAGGTCACTGAATTGCACACCAAAGTGCAGGTCATTGAGACTCAAAAACAATGCAATTGGGACTCTGAACAACACAAAATCATGCAATTAAGTTTAATGATTACGGAGTAGTAACTTGTGGTTGAGTGGAAATAACTTATCCATCATTGACCTTGGGTCCCTGAACAACACAAAATTATGCCGTTTAATGATTACAAAGTAGTAACTTGTGCTTGAGCGGAGGTGATGCCGTTTAATGATTACGGAGTAGTAATTTGTGGTTGAGTGGAGGTAACTTATCAATCCTTAATCAAATGTCAATGATTCGATCGTGCAATTAGGTTTAATGATTAGTGATTACAGAGTAGTAACTTGGAGGTGTGGTTAAGTAGAAGTAATTATTTCATTCTTAACCAAAGATCAATTGTTCAATTATTTGATCTTTAATTTTAGGTATGAAACATGTTTAAAGATCAATTTCAATTATTTGATCTTTAATTTTGGGTATGAAACATGTTTAAATTTCTATGTCATCTGTCTCACGCTATGTCGAACTATGAAAATTCTGGATATACCCTACCCAAAATGATTACGGAGTAGAAGTTTGTGTTTATTGGTTAAACAGTCCTGAAAAGTCAAAACCCACCCCCCATTAGAAGAGAACTTCGACGTAAGAGAACTTCGACGTGAGTCTTCTCTTCTTCCCCGCTGAACGGCAGCCAACCCACGCCTGCTTATCAACTACCGACCGCCACCTATGTTTACCCTTCATCTTCTTCAATCCTCCACTTCTCATTTTCAACTACCACCCACTACTTCATATTTTTCTCAACCCTATGGCGCCCAACCATTTCTACGCTTTTCATTTCCAACTCGAACTCATTTGCAACTAAACCCATGTTCTCATATTACCAGCGCAAGCAACACCCGGAGATCAGAAACCAAGAATTCCCTAACCCGATTGGAAGAAAGCAACATCTATGGCGACAAAGATGAGGAGGAGGTGGAAGGCTTTGGTGGATTCAGAGGGTTTGGAGGGATAGAAGAGGAGGAGGAAGAGGATGATGAGGGTTTTGGTGGCTTAAAAGGGAGAGGAGATGAGAAGGATTATGATAGAGACCCTGAGTTTGCCGATATACTTGGCAGCTGTGTCGATAACCCTCAAAAAGCTATGTCCAAAGTAAGTTACACTTGGATTTTGATTCTCTATTTTCATTTCGATTTTGATTGGGTCAGATTTGAATAGAGTATTGATGTTTTTCAGTAATATAAAGATTACAATAACTTTCATGGTTTTGTTTGATAATTCTGGGAATTTAGCTGTTCCTTTTGCCAATGCTCATATATTCCTTTACTTTACATGCATATCAGATTGATGACAGGTTTAGACAGAAAAGGAACAAAATTTTGCAAACCAAGACTGGTTCTGGAATACCCATGAAAGTGAAGTTCAACAAGTAAGTAAGCTATCCTGGGTGTGTGCACAAATACAAAGTTTGTATATTTGTGAGAAAGAATACATCATGAAATGATCCAAGTACAGAATATTTGTTAAAATTACGTTAACAATGGGCTAACTTGGAAGCGGCAAAAAATGTATATCCGTTCCGTTTTATGCTACTTTGTTGTAAGTATATCCTTTCAATGACTTACTCTGTGTCTTGTGCATTGCTAGGTTTGATTTTTCAAACTCGTATATATGGTTTGAATTCTACAATTCCCCATTGGAGAAAGATGTGTCTTTGATTTGTAATGTAAGTAATTTTTGCTTCACTTTTGATGCATCTGCAAATGGATTTCAACTGACTTCTTGTTGACTTGGTTATGTCACAGACAATTCGGTCTTGGCATATTGTTGGACGTCTTGGTGGATGTAATTCAATGAATATGCAAGTAAAGTTCCTGAAATTTTACTTTTAGTTCATTTCTTTAGCAGGAAAAAAGGGAAGAAAAGATTAATGAATCACTAAAAGGGTCATGTTTTTGTAGGTTTTTACGAGTAGTTCATTGACTTGTGTGAATAGACTTAAAGAAAAAAGGGAAGAAAAGATTAATGAATCACTAAAAGGGTCATGTTTTTATAGGTTTTTACGAGTAGTACATTGACTTGTGTGAATAGACTTAAAGAATCCGGACTCTTCCTTGTTCCTTGCAGTTGTCACAGTCGCCTATGGACAAAAGACCAAGTTATGATGCAATTCAAGGGGCAAATGTAACACCAAGTACATTTTATAACATAGGTGATCTTGAGATTCAAGATAATTTAGCTCGCATTTGGTAATGCCTCTGCTTTATAATAGTGTTTAGAGATATAATAATATGGCACTAGTTGCTTATTAATTAGATTTGGTTTAATAGGGTCGATATTGGGACGAGTGAACCACTACTCTTGGATATACTAATCAATGCATTGACACAGATAAGTTCTGAGTAAGCTTCTGACTCTCTTTCCCTCAAGTAAATCTTTGTTCATTTTCCTCCACCCCCAACTCCCTGAATAAGTGAATATCACTTGAAATAATTTCTTGCAATAAATTTGACAATGATTGTCTAAATGAGCACTCGAATGTTTTGTGTATCATTGCTTTTGCCCGAAAAATATGCACATGAGCACATCTTTAATATGTAACACACACTTGTTGTGTTTATCTGATCAGCTATATAGGAATTAAGCAAGTAGTATTTGGTGGATCTGAATTTGAGGGGTGGAAAGAGAACTTGAAATCGGAGGATTTGGGCTACAATGTACACAAGATTTAGCTGCCGGTGCAGAGTGCAGAATGGCAACGTGCAGAGTGTCTAGCTGCCGGTTATTATAAAGTCCAGTTTGTTTCAAGAGATGCCACTGCAAGCATTATGTTCTAGATGGAGATATCTAAGCATCCTGATAGTCTACCTGATTTCATGAACTAGAACATTATGATCTTCTACATTTGTAACATGTACTATATTTGATTAGAGTCATCAGCTATTGCGCTAACTCAAAAAGTGTATAAAGTAGAGAATATTTTAGAACACCTGACTGTTAGCTAAGAATTTGTGTCTGGGGTGTCATTTCAATTGCTTCTGTAATCTTAGGCATGCATGTATTACAGTGCATAGTAAATGAGACTGACTTTGCAATTTGCATAACAATTCATAGGTTCACTGAAAGGACAAGAAACCCAACCAACCCAGTTTAATCTCTTACAACCAAATGCTAAGGTATGTTAGTTTCACTAAAACTACAACAGGCACGGCACAGTTTCCAACAGCTAAGAACCCTTCCTCTTCACATAACTTATACTCAAGGTTGAACAGAAACCTTGTCTGCACTTAACTTGATCTGTTTCATCCTTTCATCCACTAGTTTCTGTAGTTGCTCTTCCACATTAGCTTGATTTTCATCATCCTTCTTACAACTTAAACCGTCATCATATTTGAACATCACAAATGACATCTCCTGGTCGTGCTCCGTTGGAACTTCAACCACGCGCTTTCCACCAACTTCAGAATCTTTTCCTATAACATCGGCCTTTACTTTATCTGCAATGATGGCTCTATACCCCTCCATATATTTTTCAATTGGATCCAAGCCGAGATAGACCAGAACCTCCCAGCACTGCAGCAATTGTTTCTTGTTGATTTTCAAAGTTTTCCTAACATCCTCAACAACACTTGCTGGTGGACGAAACCTACGTACATCACCAACACTCCTTTTTGCAGGATTTTCTTGCTTCAAACGCAAGACATCTGACTCTAGCGCACTCTTAATTGGATCAAACGCCAGCAAGCGCTCAACATCAATGCAAGTTCTAACATGTTGAAGGGAGTCCTCTGGCTCTTCAACAGTCAGGTCATAAACATTTTCACGTATAGCAACATTGTTTAGCACCTTGACAAGGCAGTTGCCATAGCCCTTGCGTTGGTATTGGGGTAACACCAGTATCTGCCACCAATAAGCATTTGTTAAATGCTAGAATGATAACTGTCAATATACCAACATGCATATCGAATTGAGCAAAAAAGCCCCTACTTTATTTTCTGTTTTTTTTTTGGGTTTGAAAATGCACTTCTTTTTCTATTTGCTAGATACCTGCCCAAGTCGCATGCGTGCACTGTCAGGATAACGATGAAACCTATAAACAGCTGCAAAACCAAGCATCTGAAGATGTTCATCCTCTTGGGAATCGGAACACTTCTTGACCAAAAGATATATTTCCCAGCTTGGATCAGTAACATCAATAGGGTTGCTACCTGTTTCACAATAATGGCTTAGTAAACTGAAGCTGGACCTTAGGATTGTCTAATTAGAGATTAAAGCAAAGCAAGCATCAATTACCATCAACTAAGAGAAGTACAAGTGGCACCAACCGACAGTAAAGGAGCCCCAAAGGTTCTCCAACAATGCGAAATACCTGAACCAGCAAAAAAGATACATGTAAATCTCAAAACTAACAACCTCCAGGATGCAAACACAGCATTTTGAGCTTTCTTTCAAACATCTATACAGACCAAAAGAGTGATTTTTTTTTATTCTAGGAGCCCCCTTGGCCTTTGCTACTGTAGTCTACAAAAGGCAAGATTAAATAAATAAAGCACAAGCTTTACATAATTACATTCTTGTAGCTCTCTTTAGGCTCATGCTATACATAATAATTTTATGCAATCATCCTAGTTGACATTTTGCAGCTTTAACTTAATGATTTAGATCAGCATTTAAGAATTTGCACTTTAAGATTTTTTTTTTTTTTTTTTGAATATTTGGCAGGAAAATGTACTACAGAACAAAACCTAAAGAGGTGACTATACTCATTTCTATTCCTTATTACGCAAAAAAAATGAAGAGAAGGCACCTCAACCTTATGTTCAGTTGAAGTTTCGTGTTGTAACAATTCTGCATTTGAGACAACAGATCTGCATACGCGCATAAGTCAGAAAATTAGTTGTATTGAGAAAGAAAAACACAAATGAATGAACATCCCAACAAAGGATCACATCAGTGATTGCAGTTCAGATCGAAAAGGAAAAACAATGAAAAGCTGGAAGATCAGTATTGAATTTGGTTTCTCTGATTTTAATTTTGAAAAATGTTCAAGTGAACTCTTCTTTCTTTTGTCCTAAGTTACTATAAGACTTACTTAATGTAATGCCTTTCAGTTGAGAAGGTCTGAAGGAACACGTCTTTTTCTTCAACAAGGTTCTCTGCAAAAATACACTGCAAGATACATCACCATTAAACTCTGGATGTTGATAACATAGCCCAAATTATTATTATTTTTAATTTAAAAATAAAAACTGAGGCTAGTACCTTGACCAAATGGTCAGGGGTTCAAAGTTCAAACCACACCTGAAGCCATCCTAGTGAGGTTTTGTTTAAGTCCTTCATTTGTAGGGAAATTAATTCACTTTTTTGGGGGTGTTGTATTCAGTTGTTGTAAATTATTGTAGTGGCAAATTCATCAATTGTATTGGAGATACTGAGATATTCATTGAGTTGTAATTTGATGTATACTATTGGTTTCAAGCAAAAATAAATAAAGAGATAGCATAGCAAAAAAGTTAAACCAGTTTTTTTCTAAATTTACCTGAAGAGCAGACTTCAGATCTGTTATCCCTCTGCCTCCCTTGTGAAAAAAAAAAATTCAATGAAAGGCTATAATTAGAAATAGCCATAGGAACACTATCTCATTTATGTAAAAATCAGTGTTTGCCTCTTGCTTAGTGTGTGGCACGCATATTACGAAAAGTGTAAGGGTGATGAAACATAGTCAATAATGTGAGGCTGACATACAAGTGTTTTATTTACTAAAGATTAGGATTGTTTAATTTAGTAATTCAGTAGCCAGTTAAAATCAAAGGAATAATTTCTCCAGTAACATTCTTGAAACACAATGGACTTAGGCCCAAACACTAGTTCTTCCCTTTCAGAGTGGATTTCCAGATGCCAATAAATAGGAGAAGAAATACTTACATCTGAAGAACTCTCAAAAGAAATATCAGCATATGCATGAAAAGATATCACATTAATCCAGACTTTAATCTGCATAATTCATTTCACAAATTTAGTGGAAAAACATGAAATATTAAAGGCAAGGGCGCAAGGCATATTATACAATGTGACATTGAGTTCAATGCCAAGTGACAAACCAAGAGGAGCTCCCTCCCCGTTAGCCCTGATAACCAAAAGATGAAGAAGACGAAGAAAAAAAAAACAAGGAAGAAAACTAGCAGAAGGATATTAGGAGCCAAAAAAATAATAATAATAATAATAATAATAATTACCTTCAAGCCCTTATAACCATAAAACCTTCGACGATCTTCATCAAAAAAATGGTCCAAGTCAATCGGTTCAAGAAGGAAACTATCTGGAGATCCCACTTCCTCTCGTTTAGAAACTAAGAATCAATCCCAAAAAAACAAACAGTAAACAAGCATAGAAAGTTAAGAACCACTAGTATGATTCAGTGAATTTTCAATTAACACTGCTTGAACGAACAGATCCTAGGTTCACTACTCAAACCAACGAGAATCCTTCTCATCGTTGGAACAAATTACTAGTGTCTGAGCACCCTTAATATAAATAAAAATATTTTTGCATTCAAAATTGTAATAACACCTCAAAAACTATAAAATGGTACTGATTAACGACGAATTCGTACCCAAATATATATCGATGCAGTCCACAGCTTCAATTCCATCATCTACGCAGAAGAAATTTGTACAAAAAGGTCAGAGTGAATAGAGAGAACAGCTAGTAACAAAACGCCGAAGGGGAAGGAAATGGAGCTAAGTAAAGTCCATTGTAGCTGAGTGACTCACCGGTTATGAATCCAATTCGACGTCGTTTCTTAGGTTCGGAGGTTGATTTGGATGAGGAAGATGACTGGTTCTTCGTCCCCATCTCTCTCGGTTAGGGTTTTTGTCGGAGCGGGAAAAAAATGTTCAGAGGCGCGGGAAATGCAGGCAAATGGATACATATATAACTGTGGGTTCGCCCGCCCCATTTGGGCCTGAATCACCTCTCTTTATTTATTGGGCCTGGCCCATATCTCTATTTCTTGGGCTTTCGACACCAATTTAAATTAATTAATCTACAGTAAACATCAAGGGCGTTTGGTCTAGTGGTATGATTCTCGCTTTGGGTGCGAGAGGTCCCGAGTTCGATTCTCGGAACGCCCCTTTTCAAACGGAAATTTTGCAGTTTTTACTGGCCCATATCTCTATTTCTTGGGCTTATGAAAAAACACTTAGGGGGCGTTTGGTTCAGGTTATATTACATAACCATGGGAATATGACATTCCTGAGCTTAGATTCCTATGTTTGGTTCATACTATCTGAGGGAATATAACATTCCCAGGGAATGGAACATTCCCTCCACATAGGATTTTGAAGGGAATGTGATTCCCTTCCTTTTCTTAGGTAATGTGAGATAACCTTGGATATTTATAAATTTTGCTATTTTCATTCTAATTATTTAAAAATATATATTTTATGTTAGCTTATATATATATATATATATATATATATATATATATATATATATATATATATATAAAGATAAAGATAACCCTAAACCAAACATAATTATATTATATACCTCAGTCTTAACCAAACACAGGAATTTAACATTCCCAGTAATCTAACATTCCCAGCAATCTAACATTCCCTAAGGTAATCTAACATTCCCTAAGGTAATCTAACATTCCGTGAACCAAACGGCCCCTTAATATTAATTAATCTACAGTTGACGTCAAGGGCGTTTGGAGCAGTGGTATGATTCTCACTTTGGGTGTGAGAGGTCCCGAGTTCGATTCTAGGAACGCCCCTTTTTTTTAAACAGAAATTTTCCACATAGTTTTGCAGTTTTTACTGTTCCCGTTGCAGTAATATACTCTCTGTTGTATTCAACTTGAGTGAGACAGTGGAACACTTGGAGTAAATACATGCATACATTCGAAACAAATATGATATGAAGTACAACATATGTTATTGCTTCATGTTTTGAGAATGGAAAATAACAAGAGGATATAACATTTTTCCTATGAGAACTTGTATTCGAATTTTGAACAAATATGTACATGACTATAAAATCTGGAGGACTTGTTGGCTTCTTCTACACAGTAGAGAGGAGGTATGATTCAAGAAGGCCGCGATAGCCTAACAAACATATTCACAGATCATATAAAGCCATGGTTCTGGACTTCTGGCTAAAAGCACATATTGATCATCCAATGGGGAGAAGAAAGCTGAAGCCGGTGAGAACTAATTGGCAGTCCAATCATGTACCATAGATGATTGATGTTGCCTACCAAGAAGCTAGTTTGAGCAGAGAGACCGAAGAGAGGAATAACTTATTATAGGCTATGGGAAATCCAAGCGTCTTTTGTTCCTTCTTTCCACATTCCCCATCTCCATCTAATCCCCGGGCAGTAGGCTGCACACTTTGAAATGAGGTTACAAGAGACGTTGGAGACAACATCACAGTGGATCAATAGTGCTATGTCTGACAGATTAGGGCAACTCTCCAAGACTGTTTTAATGAATGATAGCGTACTATCAATATTATTTAGCACTAGATATGCAGTGATGTCTTTCAACCCCCACATATTAGTCCTAACTTCCAAACATTCAGGGCAGAGGTGCCTCTCCAATTCAGACCAAACCCCAGCGGCCAAAGTCAGAGTTGTAACATTTGGGAAATTTCTGGACAACGACCCAAGACAAATACCTGTTCCAACAGGTTCCACCCAGTTTATCTTGCCCAACGTCAAACTCTTAATTGTCTTTGAAAGCGGAAGTGTGCAGAGCAGGTCGCCAAGTTCCATGGATTCAAGATGAAGGGTTTCCAAGTTAACAAACTCTTCTACTTTTAAGTAGTCAGATTTCTTCAGAATACAGAAATGCATTTCAGCCAACAAGGGGGCATCAATGACAAGTACCTTCGGCCTTACACAAGTGAGTTTGAGTTTCACAAGTTTTGGAGCAACTACTGCCACAGAGTTTGGGGCATTAGACACCGTCCAATAACAACTCCTTAGGTCCAAGAGATGAACCCTGGGGTCTTTAAGCCCCCCAACCCCTATCAGATTAAGAACTTGTAAACAGGGGAAACACCCAGAAATGTTGTCAAGGTTTTCATCATCCAATCTAACATACTCAAGTGTCAAACTTGTGAGCTTAGGCATTGGTTTTAAACCATTCACTGACAACCAGGCATTCTTAATCTCTAAATCAACAAGATTATAACCTGCATATACAGAAAACAACCTTTCAGCAATGACCTTAACCTATAATCATCACAAAATAAGACATACAAAAGCAACCAAATAGCTTCAATAATGTTGTCGAAAAACATGTTTAAGCTCAGCTAGGAACCAATTCAGAACTTACTAGAGCTTCTCCACTTCCAAGCATTAGCATTGACAACAAAACAGAAATAATGTGTTCAAAATTTCCATCTATTTTTTATTTAGTCCAAATATTGAATAATCGTGTGATCGAATTCATCATCTAAGAACAGGATATGTGTGAATGTGAAATGAGAAGGGGCTCACAGTGAGAAGAAATGACAGCAAGCACACTGGATCTCCGCCAACATGACTGAACCCAGAAATCCGAAATCGAAACGGATGTCAAGCTCTGAGACACCCTCGGCAGCCACTCCTCCACAAAATTCACGTCCGTCAAGTACAAATCCTCCTCGTCTTCGACATCGTCATACGACGCCGTGCGGAGCGGCTTCTCGACGCCGATGGATACGGACTTGACGATTCGCAATTCGGAAAGGAGTCGGCGGAAGATCTGTTTGAAGGGAGTGACGGAGGAGCGGGTGAGGGGGGAGCGGTACTTGGCGTAGCGGTCGAATGAGCAGAGGAGGCAGACGGATTGGAGGTCCCTGGAGGTGGAGTTTAGGGTTTTGGAAGCGATTCTGCAGCGAGCGAGGTCGGCCGGGTCGGTGAGTCGACTCAGGATTTCGAGGAGTAACGGTGGAGGAAGCTCGTCCATGCTCTCTCTCTCTCTCTCTCTCTCTTGGTTGGGGCAGACGCGTGGGAAATGTGAATTCTACTCCATTTTATACTTTGGTCCGACGGACGATATGTGGCTGATGTTGGTTTGTTCAGTCAAAAGACAGATGTTTCAAGTTACCGGTTTAACCCTTACGTTTTATATTATGGAGTTATTTTGACATCATTGTATATTTCTTAGGACATGGGTTAATGACAAAATTAGACAAAAAAAAAATGATAAAAATATAAAGCTTTTTAAAGCTAGACAAAAATATAGAAAACTTATTTGTCTAATGTGTTTCTTGTATGTATGTAGCGTGTCTGCTCAATCGATAAATTGTCGTCGGTGAGAAACGTAAATCTCACCTCCGTCTCTCATTGCCTTCTGAAAATTAAAAAAAGAATTGATAATAAAAAGATACTCATCGATCTTCTTGTTCAAAGTCTATTTTCATATCTTGATTCGGAGATCAACCTTGCAATCGACGTTGGAGTTTGTGGTTTTTTACGGCTACTTTCCTCCTGGAATGCTCACACGCTGTCACAAGGTGACTTTGATGCCAACTTTCTTGGTTTTCAGGCCATTGACCTTCACTGTCACCTTAGTCTCCAAATTTAGTGTAAGTGGAAAAGTCTTATTTGATTTCAGCTTTTAGATATCTCTAGCGGGGTGAGTCTGCTTTGAGGTGGAGATTGTTGTTTTCAGAGTGATGGTGTTTTTAGTAGACTTGCGCCTCTCTATGCTGTATTGAGAGACGACGAAAGTCTCACGTGCGTCTCTCCCGACCGACGACAGTTTGCCAATCAATGAAACTTACCTATCTCGTATATATAAGTACAAAAAACACATTTGACAATTAAATTTTACCTATTTGTGCCCAACTTTCAAAAGCTTCATATTTTTGTCAAATTTCTTTATTTTTTACCTATTTCTATCATTAACCCCTTGGACATCTCCCACCATTTTCTTTATACATGACAATTATTTTTCTCCACATTATTAATACAACAATACTTATTTATCTTTAGGTGATCACTAATCACTAATATATATAGCCCAAAACAATAGTGCTATTGCTTGTTTGCCAATAGCCTTAAAAAAAGCCCCAATACAAATATCCATCAAATAGCCCAACTAAACTCTGTAGACAATAGACATACCCTTCTCCGCTTCTCAGCTTGTCCAGTCTCCAGTCTCTCCGTCTCAGCTTGTTGCTGTTGAATGATTGCTGTCTGTTCAAGGTTACGGTAAGATTCGCGCCATGTGAGTTATAGCCCGACCCGAACTCTAAAGCCTCGCGTTTTGAGAACGCAACACACAGTCGCAAGTTTTCAACTTTATTCCTCGCTTGCTTGCAGTGCTTAACCTTCTTCGCTCAATCACTCTCTGATGTAAACACAATGGGAGAAGCTACCAGAGATCAGAACCGAGTTATGGACGCCGTACGAGCTACAGTGTTTAAGAAATCGGAGAGCCTCGACGGCGAAGGCGGCTGCACCAAAATTGAGGGCTATGATTTCAATCGCGGCGTTGACTACCCTCAGCTATTGAACTCACTGCTCTCCACTGGCTTCCAAGCATCCAACCTTGGCGAAGCCATCCAAATTGTTAACGAAATGGTTTGTTTCATTACTCGTAAAAAATGTTTTTTTTTTTTTTTTTGGAGTTTCTGTTGGACTGTTTATCTCTGAATTTTTGCCCACAAAAGCCGAAATTCCCTACCAATTCCCACTGCCAGGCTCGATCCTGTGTCCCTACACATTAATCAATTGAGTTACCCGTGCGGGGTTTAGCTCTGAATTCTGCACATAAAAGTTGAGAGCTTCATTACTTGCTCAGGTTTTGTGACATTGTCGAACTTTTTGCATAGCAGCTGGATGACTGTACATGAGATATTTATTTCTAGCATTTTACTGATTTTTGTTTTAAATTGCAAAGTCTGAAATTTTCCTACAATCAATATAGTGAAGAGTAAGAATTTAAGATAAATGCTTTGTTTTATTTTCAGTAGTTTTTGAAAGTTTAGTTTAAAATCCATTGAGCCTTTAGTTCTAATTGCTGAAGTGCTTGCATTTGGTTTTGTGAAGCTTGATTGGAGGCTATCCCAAGAACCCATAATGGAAGATTGCGATGAGGAAGAGAAAGACCCTGCTTATAGAGACTCAGTGACTAGCAAAATCTTCTTAGGCTTCACGTCCAACCTTGTTTCTTCTGGCGTTCGAGACACAATTCGCTATCTTGTTCAGCGTCACATGGTGAGTAATGTCGAAAGCGAGATAAGCTACTTGGTTTTGTCTCTGTGTTATCATATTGCAGGGGACTTAATTACAAAACTTCATCGTCATCAAACAAATTATTCTTTTTCTGTTACTTGCCATGTTAGTTTACCATACCCCCCAGGTGCTTGTCTGTGACCTGTGTCTCTAGATATAATCAACACAAATCAATTATTTTGATTCATTCTAAGTAGTTGTGCTTGCCCCTCTAGGTACTTAAATGGAGCACTAAATTTGTTGAGCGAATATGTTTTAACCTCATGTTACTGTTTTCTTCTGTTGACTGACATGATAATTTAGCATTTGATTCCACCCTTCTTATCTTCACCGTGCAAAATTTTCTCACCCTTACAATTTAGAAAACAGCTGTTTAAGTTGTAGTTTTGGAGTCGAATGTTTTAGCATTTCTCAAAACGTTGTCAATGAAGGTGGGGGTTAGAATTTAGTGTTCACCGCCTCTCAGAAGAATTATTTTTACATAGGTTACTCTGATAAGAGTTAGACTTCACTGCCTCTTAGTAGAATTATATATTTTATATGCATAGCTCATAGTATGATATAATGCATCGCTTTGCCTGGCTGCAGGTTGATGTAGTGGTTACAACGGCTGGTGGTATTGAGGAGGACCTCATAAAATGTCTTGCACCAACTTACAAGGGTGATTTTTCTTTACCTGGAGCTGTATTACGCTCAAAGGGATTGAACCGCATTGGTAATTTGTTGGTTCCAAATGACAATTACTGCAAATTTGAAGACTGGATCATCCCAATTTTCGACCAGATGTATGAAGAGCAAACCAAACAGGTATTGGTCTTTTATGGTACACAAAATATTAGCCTATGAAAATTATACTAAAGAATTGAGCATTAGTTGTTTTTTAGCCTACTTTGGTCATTAATGAATTTGCTGAAAAAGTTAATTTTGATTGAGTTTTTAAATTTTTTCATGATGAGTGCTACTTATGTTCTCTACTATCTTCAAAACAAAGCATGTTGGTAAAATTCTTACTCAGTATTCTTAAATCCACATCTAATTGCTTCATATTGAGAGCATCCTTTTGGTTTCTTGGTGGACACTTGATATGCTTGAAAGATATCTGATTTGCTAAACCTTTGTCTCCCCCCATCATTGTCTCCTTTGTCTTCTTCTTCCTCTCCAATGTTTAAGTAATAAAGACCATTTTTTTTCCTTTTTGCTGCACAGAATGTATTATGGACACCATCTAAAGTTATTGCTCGCCTAGGGAAAGAAATTAATGATGAAAGCTCGTATTTATACTGGGCATACAAGGTACCTTTCCAATTTAATTCCATTTGTTCCATCTGTTGAACAATTGTTCCTCAATATGTGCAATGGGAATAGGAAACTGTAGCTGTTTATTGGAATGTTCACTGTTTATTGAAATTTCTTCCTAAGTTTTAATTATGTTATGCTGATTTTCTTTGCTCCCCAGAACAAAATTCCTGTCTTCTGTCCTAGTTTAACTGATGGCTCTCTAGGCGACATGTTATACTTCCATACTTTCAGAAAGGAAGATCCAAATAATCCAGACCACAACCCTGGTCTAATCATTGACATTGTGGGAGGTAATTGATCTTTTTGCTTGCCCCTATAGAATATTGATTAATTAAGAACAAATTGATAAGTGACTAGTCCGTTACTAGATATCAGGGCCATGAATGGTGAGGCTGTTCATGCTGGTTCTAGGAAGACTGGAGTGATTATCCTTGGCGGAGGGTTGCCTAAACATCATATTTGCAATGCCAATATGATGCGCAATGGTGCAGATTATGCAGTCTACATCAACACGGCCCAAGAGTTTGATGGAAGTGATTCTGGTGCCCGTCCTGATGAAGCTGTGTCGTGGGGAAAAATACGTGGTGGAGCAAAAACAGTGAAGGTTAGGAATCTTAAGTACTTAAGTATAACAAATCATTCTTGAAATATTTTTACTGCCTTGTTTGGAAAAGCCTGATAGAACTTTTCTTAAATCCCATTGTTTCTTTTACTTGCTTGTGATAAAAGTAGATGGCAGTACTTTAACTCATACTCCATGTTAGACTTCAGATTGAGTGGTCTAATTTGTTGTATTCTATTGGGTTTGTCTTGCGCCAGGTACATTGTGATGCAACCATTGCTTTCCCCCTTTTGGTAGCCGAGACATTCGCAACTAAAGCTAAAAATTCCACAGTCAATCAATAGGTGGCAATATATATATATATATATATATATATATATATATATATATTCACATTAAGGCCTTGTTGTTGCATAGCATAGATTTGATTCGACAAAACCACTTGTTGCTAATTTATTTCCTAATATTGTCATTTCTTGGACTTTGCCGTTGCTAATTTATTTTGAGGGAACTAAGAGCATCTACAACAGTTTTTTTTTTTTTTTTTTTTTTTTTTTTTTGGTATTTTCCTCCTGCAAATGAAGTTCTTTGTGGGGCCCAAGAGAAAAGGAGAGAAGGAAGCTCTGACTTGCGCGTGTGGCACAATATTTGCGCCCAGTAGGCACGTGCTACTTCAAAAATCACTACTATTGAGGATGTCTTAATTTTCCTTGCCGGGCAAATGTGTTTTTACTATTGAGGATGTCTTAATTTTCCTTGCCGGGCAAATGTGTTTTTATCTTAAAGAAGAATTCTGAGATGGGACTTTTTGGAATTTAAACAGTATGTGTATCTTGATTGTTTTGGATGATATAGTCAATATATGAAACATGCTTTCAAACTTTCTGTTACATACAAATATAATTTACATTCAAGTATTTTCATGTTCCCAGCTATTATTCATCTAAAGCTATTGAATTGTAGTCTGTAGAGCATAACATGCTCTCTCTTGTGATATTTATGTACTCATTTATTTATTTAGTTCTGAAAATGAATGTAACTCAATTGTAAATTTGCAATTATTTCATCTAACAAATATAATTTAATAAAGTTTTAATCACAATTACAATATCCAATAACAACATATCTAAATAAATAGATAGACCGACTCCAATTCATGATTGAGGTCAGTCTTTTAATCTAATGTTCTAACCTAATGTCATCAAGTTAAGTAGTTAACCTTATGTTAATAGAACTCATGCCTAGAATCCTGTCTCCGGAGTTTATAAAGATTAACAGATAATATTAATCTACGATGCATAAAACCTCAGGGAGTTGTACTACAACTCTACAACTAAATCAACTTTGTCAAGTTATTGGGACATAGAAGCCAAAAGTTCACTACAAGTTTCATTAAATAAAATACATCCATTTATTTCAAAAGGAAGACCCAAATATAGGAAAGTCTACGTGCCGATCAGCACCATGCTGATTTGCACCAAGTACAACACAAAAATGCATGTCTAGTTGCACTGGTGTAACCTACAAAGCTTTTATGGTTGTACTTGGTGCAAATAGACACTGTGCTTATTGGCACCTTAAAATTTCCCATGATTTATACAACAAAAGAACCATCATCTTTAATCAATCAAATAATACAAGAGGAAGAAGAATCTCTGTGCAAAGAGTAGCCTGTTTCTGTTTCTTTCAAACCAAAAATTCTTTTATCTGCAAATAACAAATAAATTAAGCAACCTCCATGTCTGTATACTATCAAACAAGATTACTCACTTACGGTTCATCCGGAGGGACTGCAATTGAGCGGCAATATTTTCATAGTCTGGAAGCTTTGGATGAACATGACTAGGTTTCTTTGTACTGTCCTCTCTAGCTAAAGTACTACCACTTGATCCAGATGCCTTGGGAGTTTGCGTGTTACTTGATGATTGTGTTTTCCTGTCAAAATGGGATGCTTGTTCTGTTGTTGATGTCTTCCTTTTTTCTTCATCCAAATATGTCTTGGACTTGGAGACTGGTCTTCCCAAGCTATGCTGTTCATGATATACCCATTGGCCTGAGGTTTCTTGCTGCGACTGGATTTCTTGTTTTCCAACATCATAAGATTTCCGAGTATCTTTTTGCTGTTCTTGCACTTCAGCAGCGTAAGATTTCCTTGTGGGTTTCTTGGTGTCTTGTGCTTCATTGGATAAATTCTTTGTACTTTTCTTGAGTTCTTGTGCTCTGGCCTCAGAGAAATTCTGGGAAGATTTTCTTTCTAGACTTGAAGAACCAGATGTTTCTGACTTGATATGAACCTGGGAAGAGAAGTTTGTTTCTGAACTGGGAGGAGAAACTTTTGTCCTTCGAGAAAATTGGCTAACCACGTGTTTTCTATTTATGTTGGGTTGTTTGGGAGATTCCACTTCTGAATCAGTGGAATCAAAATAAGTAACAGAACCTTTTGACCACCTTGGTTTTGTTTCAACCTCTTTGTCCAGCTTCATAACATCTGGTTTCCTCCTGTCACTTGAGATCTGCTGAGAAAGTTCTTCATCAGAACTGTCAGTATCAAAATCACGATGGGAGGTTGTCATTCTTGAGCTGGATTTGCTCCCTTTCTTCATACTTCCAGAATGGACAGAGCCCAAAACACTTTGAGAAGCAGTAGACAGTGAACTCGTGGCAGAAACCTCTTCAGATTTGTCAAATGAAGAGATTTGATGAGTCCTTGTATATGGAGGAGTAACATAGCCCTTATGTCTAAGACCGCCTCTTAACTTTCCAAAGTTCAATTCATTCACATAATCAGAATTAGATTGAGTTGACTTCTCTTCATCATCTATCCATGCATCAGTTGAGTGTGACAAGTGGGCATTGTCCTTGGCTCCATCTGCCACTGAGAGCCTTGAATGGGAGGACTTTAATTGGTTTGTTCCGTCTATTGAACTGAAAAATAATGATTCATCATTTGCATAGTCACCTTTCCTATAAGCATCTACCGAGTCTTTCTCATTAGATGAATGTGACAATTTTTTACTCTCAGTTCCACCAGTTTCACTAGATCTTGATCCATGACTCTGGGAGCGCTTCCTGATAAGCTCAGGCTGGTCCATATCTTCAGTTTCAGAGCTCACGCCATCTGAATCATCAAAGGTTGCATGGACAAAATTCTCTGCCTGTGGTTTTCCCCCAGATGCCTCCTCCAAGAAACTTTTAGGGGACTCAGGAGGTGAGTATCTTTCTACAAAAATTTGTGATGTCAAAGTAGAGTTTTCTGGCAACTTGCTGGTGTTCATTCTAGGGCTCCAATTATCACCTGTTAAGGAGGGATGAGTAGGCGATTTTCTTTCAGGTGATGGAAAATAAAATTTGGACTGCTGGTCATCATATATGGATTCTGTATGGAAATTAACAGCATCTTCATCATCTGAGCTAGATTTATCAAAAACTGCAGATACCACATCATAAGAACTTGTCTTCATATTTCCCTGGTAAACACGCTCTTCCTCGGCATTAGCAAAAAGGTCATTGCCAGCTTCATATACAGGCTTTTGGTTGTGATTGTTATCATCATACCTTGAAGTGCTTGAATGAGAAGCACGAGGAACATTGTTAACTTCAACTGTTGTCCTCTCTTCTCCAAAATAGTTCACGTCTTCCTCATAGTCACTCATGCTTTGAGGTTCAAATTCACCAGTGTGCTTATAGGAAACCTTTTTTGCTTGACTATGCTCTTCTTTTGATAAGTTTGTCTCTCTAGACCTATCTGGTTCTCGAGGACTATGTAACAAGTCATTATCAATTGAAATTTCAGATCTTGGAGAAGCCTGTGAACCTGAACTCCTTTCATTATCACCATCATCATGGTAAAATTTCCTACTAGCTTTCATCATATTATCATGTTCAGAACTGCCAACTTCATCTTGTAACCTAGAATCTCTACGAGTAAAGGATTTATCTGGGAAATCATGATGGCGCCGTTCAGCATTCCTTATTGAAGCACCAGAATATGCCTGCTGTTCATCTCTTTCAATGCTTACATGAGACCTCTTTGATTCGGTTTGGTACTGCCCAGGCATCCTTGAAAGTTCTGCAGCCGCTCTTGCAGCCATACTTGCACGTTCTGCAGATTCAGCAGCTGCCTGTGCTGCAGATGTAGCATCCTTGAATTCCATATTCCAACTCTGCCTACCCATAGAGAAATTGCCATTCTCGGGAAATGATTGCCCAACTTCATTCATTTCAGACCTAAACCCTGATACAGGAACCAACACTGAGGTAAAAACCTAGATACTGTATGCGCAAACTCACTAATGGCTAGATTAAAAATACCTGAATGTCTACGTTCAAGTTGAGAAGAGGAAGAAAGCACTGTGCCACTAGTGCCACCTTGTGAAGCAAAACTAGGGGTTGTCATTGGGGATCCTTTTCTCTGCTCTGAGACATTCAATGATTCATTATACACCTGGCTATAGGTAGGTGGAGTTCTGACTTCTGAAGATTCAAAGCGAGGAGGATCTTCAAGCACCTTACTGGGCTTCTCGAAAGTATTTGGTCCATTCTGGTCAAGCATTTGGAGAAACTCAGTAATGACACAGAAAAGGAATTGACCAGAGTCCTACCTCAAGATAGTTTTTGATGAAATACTTTACCAGCAAGTCACTGGGTGGTAAATCTGATTCTCCAAATGAATTAGGATCCCATTTGACACCTTGCTCCTCAGCAATTGCAGTCAATATTTTAAGCTTGGTTTGCCCATCGGGTGCTTTAGCAGATAACTTCTCAATCAACTGGAAGAAAACATGACAAAATCAGTGAAGCTTGGTTGCTAACTTTACTATGCAAAACTAATCAGTTCACATTATATCACATGTTAAAAAGTTGAAAGGGGAGTACATCACAGGTAAGACATGAACTTACAAGGCGACTAACACCACAATCTGGACGCAGTTCAACAGCTCCAGTGATGAATCCACTCCCATATTTTACTTTAAAGTGCTTCCGGACATCTATAAGTTCTGGTATGTCTCCACATCTTGGTGATGCAAATACTAGACTTGTAATGGCTTCCTTCAGGTCGATGGGACAGTTTCTGTAGATCAAAACAACATTATGATTTATGAAACCTTCAAGAAGTCACTATGTCACTACAGATTAACTTTCCCTACACTACCACATGGTTTAACTTTTGATCAGTTTCTGGAAAGATTGCAATAATGCATTTTCCCACACTACAAGATGGCATATGTTTACATACTTTTGTGATTCAATAATAGGCAGGCGTGCCACAATTAACTCGCAGTATATCTCTAGAAGATCATATGCTGCCATCATCTTCTCTTCCCTAACAACATGTTCCACCTGCAAATTCAAGGACAAAATAAATGAATCTAAACCTTAATACAAATTATGTTGACCAGACCTTTACATCACTAGTCAATGAATCCCTTTGTTTTACGAAATATCAAACAAAATCAGAAAATAAAGGAATCACAAACGCATCGCCATCAATAAAACGACTGCACAAGGTCCATATACGCTAGATTAAATGAAATCAGAAGCCAACTATTCACACACACACATACACACAGAGACAAAGAGAAAACGGTGACTCAATAAAATGAAAATATGATAATTACGCGGATTCGAGCCGTTTGGTTATGCCCTGATTCAAGCAACTGCGCCAGCTCCCTTTTCATCTGCTTCACTTGCACTTCCTTCTTATTCCTCATTAACTTCAGTCTCGATGATGCCAACTTTAGCGACGTCTTACTGCGTGTATATATCAGCAACCACATTCAACAAAAATCACTTCAAATCAAATTTAACCACAAACTCAAAATTACGTAAACACACATCAATCATCAAACTAGAAACTGAATTTTACAAATAACAACAACAAAATCACCATTTAGCAGAATTGAAGCTTTTCGTGAGCTTCTCTTTGGAACTCCGCAAAAAATTACTCGATTTCTTCATGGCTTCGAGACCGTAAGTGATTCAAAGAAAGAAAGAAAAAAAAAATCAAGGAAATTAAGAACTGAATTCGTGAATTTGATGAACCGTATATATAATCTATAATCTAATTGATCAACAAAAAAACTTTCGGAAAAAAAATGGTAAAAGGAAAGAATTAAAGGCGAATTTACAAGGAAAGAGAGAAGGAGATTCGTTGGAGTGTTAAATTGAAAGAAGGATGAGTGGACTTTTAGTAATCTGCGTCTCGAAGAATACCATTTTTAAAGTGGTGGGACAGCCAATGAAAGAAATATAAAATTAAATAAAAAAATATTAACTGCGTGTAAAATTTTACAAGTTTCTGTGTGTTGACTTGACTGAGTCATGGGCGGAAGGATCAAAGAAAGACGCTATGACAAAAGGAGAAAGCCGGAAATTGAAGTGAGAATAGGGAGAAGACGAAACTCACGAAACTCACGTTAACAAGTTTGGAATATGCATATTCCACTCTTATTATTATTCTTATTCCAGGATTGCTCCGTAATTAATCATTCTTAAACTAGTAAAGTTTATCATAAATTAATTAAATAAAAATATTTAATGTAAAAATTTATGTTTATTTAATGATATCTACTCCGTATTATTATGGTGGTTGATGTAAATAATTTGGGTAGTTGTATTTCGCCATCAAAGAAAGTGAAATTATGGCTTAGCAGTGGTGTCCTTTACAAACTGTCAAACATAAAACGACGTTTTAACGTGAACAGGTAAAGTCGTTTCAGGGTAATTTATATCGTGCACCAGGGCACACATTGCATTGTGCGCTCTGGTGCAAAACAATGTCGTTTTGTTTTTTGTTTTTTGTTTTTAATTTTGTTTTTCCGTGTTTGCTGTTAACTTGTTAAAAAAAATTATGTTTTGAAAATGCACATAATTATATACTAAAATGTACATGATTGTATATGAGAATATACATAAACTTTTAACTGTTAAAAAAAATAGCGTATTCGAAGGTACATAATTGTATAAAAAATTTAAATAATTATATAAAATAATATACATAATTGTATAACAGAATGTACATAATTATATAACATAATACACATACACTCTATTGCCGCAACTCTCCACACAACTTATCAAAACGACATCATTTTGAGAGATGTGAAACGCACAGTGCTATATACACCGTGGTGCAGGATATAACGATTGTCGTTTCAGCCACCAGAGCCGAAAAGTAGAAACACACGTAGCACGTCCGAAGGTTCCATCAATTATTGCTTAACGCGCTCTGCGTCCTAATCCTATAATGGAATATACGAAATCAAGTACCAATCATGATTATGCCTGACCATTAAGGGTGGTTTGGTAATTGGCACCCTGGTATGACTTTTATTATCATCTGGGTTCTGTGGGTTGTAGAAATAAATACAAAATTAAGTTATATGTGATAAAATCAAATACGATTATATATATTCATTTATTTATCTTTACTTCTTCAACTAACCATACAAAAACATATTACGGACTACGGAGTATAGTATTGTGAATCATGAAATTGTATTCTTTTTAGAATTTAGGCACAATCCCTTATATTTTAATTTTAGGAATAAAAAAATATTGTTGTAAATGAATAATAATTCTAAATAAAGAGGAATTGAGAAAATGACAGTTGTTATCCTGGTTAATTGTTATAGAAAAATAATTGATTCAATCCTTACATTATAGGGTTGGGATCATGGTTTTACTCTAAAGTTAAAATAATGTCTTAAGTTTTTAATGTGTGATGATACCAAAATAAAAATTTGGTTATAATATGATGATCCCATAATTTTGTGGGATTTTTTTTCCTGTATCAAACAAGTATTAATTCAATTATTCCAGCGGTGAATTCCTTCCCACAATTTATCAATTCTTACATTTGTGATTTATGTTGTAGCTAATGAGCCTAACCGACTAAACAAGAAAATAAACCACAAATAAAATCAGGAGTTACATCAAACTTCATAGCAAGCAGAGATTGAATTTGTGGAGTCCCCATAAAATACACTAAATAATCTTCTACACTCAAATCAAGCTATTGTCCTAGAATAAGAAGATAAATTCAAACAAAAAAACAATAATGTTTCTAGAGAAGGAGATTGACAATGAAAGTTTTTATAATAAAAAAACTCTAAATTGTACAAAATCTCGATAAGAATTCTTATTCAAGTCATCAAACATGATCTTGAAACAAAAGAATTAAGTGGTATACGTATATCTACCCAAGAAAGCTAATCAAAGTTCAGTCTTCATGTTGTTCAACTGACTAAACAAAATGGCCATGTCCATACCTTGTACCATTGTTGGCACGGCTGTATCATAAGGACAGTCGCTAGAAAATCCTTCCTTTCCTGACTTATGTACTGTCTGTATGCACTTCTTGAACTTCTCATGGCATTGGACATTTGTCAAACCTGAAAGTTAAGAGCATCTAAGTAAAGAAAAACATTAATAGTAAATATACCAAACAGTGTTGGAAAGCATTTTCCACTCAGTAAATTGCACTATCATTAGTTTGGGAGAAGGCATATTCATAGTTATAGAGTATGATTTAACAATTGAAGTGTATAATTCGAAACTGCAAGAACACATCATGGAACCAAATGGTTTTCCTTGCTGTTTATCAAACATACAGCATGCTACAAATTCCAAGTACTGTAATAAAAGCATTATCAAACAGGAAAAGAGATTACTCCACAAAATTGCAAAACCCATTGTCAAAGCTCAAAAGTCGCAAAAATGTAAAAGAAACAAATCATGATTTTCAGTTGAAACATTGAACCAAAATGAACACATGCCTAAAACAGAGAAATAACTATTGCAGGTTTGCAATGAAAAGCTAAGTACAACAAACAATATAAAATCCTGCAGACAAAGCTTACAATAACTCACTCAAATTTCAAGTGATTCAACTGAAATAAACAGCATCACCAGAAACATAAAGTGTTGTGTAGGTTGAATCTAAAGTTAAATGAAGGCATGTGCCCAAAAAAGAAGGTAAATTGAATGTACTTAACAGTAGCATTGTGTTTCAGAGTACAAATGAGGTGTAGAGAAACTATAATAGACAATTAGGCCACTTTCAAACTAGGAATTATAGAATAGAGCCCTAGCAATGCTAAGTTGTAACAATTTTTTTTTTATAATCTAATGTGACAAATAAATTATCAATAGACTGGAAAGCCAACATTACCAGCTTTCTCTACACATTCATCGTGAATTTCGCAACAGGCATCAAGATCATCGCAAGGTTTCTCCCCTGGACATCCAGTCCAGCCTACTCCACAATACTTCCCATATTTAATTCCAATCGCTATTACAATTTTCATAAAATGTAAATAAAATTAGAACTATTGATCATTCACATAAATGTTTTAAAAATATATAAACAGTCCATGTCAATATAATCAAGAGATTGAAGGGAACGGAGAAATACAGCCACAGTTTTCCGCAATGCACGTTCTACTGCATCCAATCTGTCATTCACATCAAGCATCGAAATTCTTAGAAATTTTTCTAGTAACACAACATCTGATTCATGAAAGTTGTACCTCCTCCCGTTGTGAATGTACCATGCTGATGCAGCGTGAATTTTTGCATAGCATTATGATTTGGTTGGTGAGAATTACCTGAGACTTGTTAGCTGATTCGGCGGTGGAAATTATAAAGGTGGAGAAGACGATGATTGTAACGAGGAATGAGCCGGCGGCACCTTTTCCGATGAGAAGTCCGGCGTGCCACTGCATTTTTTGTTTTCTTTTGCTTCTCCTTCGCTCTCTCTCTCTCTCTCTCTTTCTCTCTTCCTCTCTCTCTCTCACTCGTTTGCTTAGACAGTTAAACTTCGCCGGCGGATTTGTATTTAGACTTAGACAGTTAAGCTTTGTGCAGAAACTTCGCTGTGTGTTGCGTAGCAGACGCCTTCTGATTGGTGGATCTCGTTCTGATTTTGATGAGTCGGATTGACCCGAATGAACTACCGTTACTGACTGAGGGTAAAAATGCCATTATACTTCTCAGCATTTTTCTCATTTTTTTCGTGGTAAATACAACCATGCAAACAAAACAGGCCACTAATATTCTAATCAAATATGTATTTGAATTTTATTAGATAATAATAAATAGTAAATTTAATAAAATTTGACAATAATTTAATTACAAATTATTTAGAGGCCAACATGTCTATTAAACATCAAAATATGCAAACTAATCATGAAAAATTATGAATGTTTAAAAAAATATTAAAATATCATGATAAAATAATTATCATAATTAGATATATACTTAGGCTAATTGCACCGGTAAAAGAATATGATAATTATTCATTACTCACTATTATAAACAACAAATTAAAATATACTAGAGATCCTCATATTAAATATTGTCAAATTATTTGCTAAAATTATAGCCTAGAGGCAATTTTTTTGTTTGAAAAAAAGATCAAATATGTCACTAAATTTTATTATACAAAAAATCAATCAATTAGGTTTCTAAACATTTAAAAAGTATAATTAAATCATTAAACATGTTATTTTTATCAAATAAATTCAACAACCAAATTGTCACCGGAGATGATGCCAAAACCGAAATAACATATCATTTACTAGTTCTTGAACATTATTGCCTCAATATAACATGTTAAGGGATGTAATTGTACTTTTTAAAAGTTAAGATACCTAATTAACTTTTCAAGTAAAGTTTAAAAATGTATTTAACTAATTTCTCTAATTTTTATTCAGAATACTATTTTATTACTTGTTTATCTATATTTTAATGTTAATTTTTTGTATAAATATTTAATTTTTATATTAAGTAGACAATTGTGATTTGTGAATTGTCCTAATAAGTAATAACTAATTTTTGACCCATCCAAATATTAACTTCACTTCTCAAAACGAATAAAAAAAATTCAATGTTACCAAGAGCCATTGGTTCAAATCGAAAAGACTGAATTATTTAAACACAAGGTGGGGAGTTCAAACTCGCAGTCGCATAACATTTTTGTTACTTATGATAGTTTCAACATCAAAACATATTAAGAACACCACTACATAGTTCATCAACCTAGGTGCCTCTGACTCTGAGGGTAGAAAAATTGGCACAGATTATTACAGCAAACAAATTTAGTCACTGATTTCTCAGCTTCAAAAATGTTTTGGAAGACAAAACCTTGCAGTATTGAGTGCCAGTCGCTCAGATTATCCTAACCAAGACAGAAAGATTGTGGTTACCCAGCTGGTTCTTTTCAGGGATAGTAACCGGTGAACGTAAATCCCCTTCCTACTATCTCTCCAGCACAATACCATGCAAAGCATTCGAGGCCGAATAAAGCAGCTGTGCCAGCATCCTCGACCTTCAATTCGTGCCTATTCTTCCATGCCTGCTTGACATAATCAACTTCCTTCCAAAAGGCCTGGTTACGGCTGGGGATACTGAAAAATAACAGATTTAAGAAAACATCTATCGTTAGCAAGTGATGCAGTAACCTATACAAAACTTTCCAGCTTAAAAGTATGCCATTGAGCTTTGTTGCTTCAGCCATTTCAAATAACTGAACAGAGGCCATCACATTAAACTTAAGAATACTGAAACTCAGCATAATGTATTTGTGGTTCTCTGGGAGGGAAACAACAATTTTGGAACACTAGGGACACAGAAAGATGTTCATAGTCCCTTAATGAACTCCAAAAATCAACTATATTATTTAAATTTTCAGCCAGGTACTGGAATGTAGTCAAATATATGCAGTTATGGGAAAGTAAGGTACTCAATCAAGAATGGGAGTTAATGCACAATATTCACCTAGTAAAATAGAACCATTACATAAAGTAGTTAAAATGGTGATACTTTTTTTTTTTTGTTTGGATATTAGGGAAGGATAATGACAAAGCAAAAAGACTGAACACATCTATGTCAGGCAATGCCAACAATGTCAGTAAAAATGAGTGGCTTCAGTGCTTCACGCCTTCAAGGGAATGGTTAAAATGGTGGTACTTTGAAGCAAATAAAATATAATCTATAGCATAACAAATTTTAACCAGTGGAATAGAATGATGAGATGGAATTGTCTCTATAGTCTGCGATGCTGCTTTTGTCATATTGGATACAACAGCTGTGTACAACTTAGTTGCATGGACTACTCTTGTGGCTATACCGCTATACTGCTATAGCGGAGTTAATTAACACAACGTCAACTCCATTGGTTAAACCCTAATCCCTGAAGATCATGCTAGCACAGAACAAGAGTCCTCTTGAACAATTCTCAGAAGAATAATTTAATGTCTTCAGTCAGCAGAAAACTACTTAAAGGGCAAGTATACAGGTTAATTTAGTCAGCCTCACAATTAATGACAGCTTCTTCAACTAAAAATCCATACACCCCGCAGAATAGTGTGTGTGTGTGTGTGTGGGGGGGGGGGGGGTGGGTATTCATCCACACTGAAATTTCACCAGCACTCCGAACAGGCAAATACTGAATGAACCTCTTTTCTTTCCAAATAGTCAAATACAAAAGAACTTCATAGAAAAAAGCTTGTATTTTAAATACCTCAGAAATCAAAGATGCCCTTAGAAATGGAAAAAGTATAGCTCACCAGAAGTCAAAATCAATCCACTCATACTAATTTCAACTTGCAGGTTAAAACAAGAAGTGCAAAGCAAGGATTGGAAATCTCCAATTCAGCAATTCTCCATCAAATCAGTTAAACTCAGCATCCAGGCTAAAAATAAATATGCAAAGAATCACCTGGCAAGACGAGTGTAGAAGAGCTGTTTAGATAATTCATTGCACTTTTCCACAGTGGATGGCTCCACAATATACTGCTTGTTCTGATCCAATGTCTGTTTGTAGATAGCACAACTATGCTTGGTAATAAACTGTTTCGCTTGGCATGCCTTTGCTTGCAGTTGATGAAACTTGGATGCCATTAATTCTTCTTTTTAAAATATCCTAAAATTGAAAAATAAGTTACAAAGGTCAATTGAACAAAATACTATCTGGATTTTGGCCATTTACTATGACAAAGTTGTACACTAGTACCAACTAGGGATATTATATAAAATCATGGCGATTTAGATATCAATAATCAATTAATACCAAAAATGAATTTTGGTACCTCATAGCTTCAAAAAATTAAATAGATGTTTTCAAACAAAACAATGAGAATATGAAAGGGAGTAGCCATATGATAAGCATTGAAGTGTAGCATACTTCTCGCAAATTTTTAAAAGAAAGTCATTTCACAAGGGAAAGAACACACAACACACACACGCGTGGGCGGAATTGCTACTTCATTCCTGGGATCAACTGAGGCTAATTGATTTCCGCTTAACTAAAGACCTCACATTCTTCAACTTTCATATAAATTGGAAGAGGCATGGATATGAATTATCCTGTTAGATTAAATGTTTTATTTCTCTAACTGCTCGCATCTGAAATTCTGAATTAATCCAGTGATACAGTCACATTAGAAGACGGCAACACTTTAAGCTCCTTCCGACTATCAAACACTACAATAGACAAGGCCAAATAGAAACCATGCAATCATCGATCAATTCAATCATTCCACTTAACACCCAATTCACGGATCAGAAGGAACATCATCAATCAATTCAGTCAACAGGTATAGACTATAGCGACTGACAATTCAAACCACGATCCACTTATCAACATAAGAACATTGTACAGATACACAGTTCGACATCCACGCACGAATGTCTAAATTTGTAAACAATCAAAAAACGCGAGATCTGGGAATAACAACCTGAATACAACGTAGAAATAAAATGCAAAAATTAATAAATAAAAGGAATCAACGAAAGGGAATCGGAGCATAGGGATACAAATATGGAGCTTCCGACTTACCGGAGTATTGGTCAGAGAAGACGGCGAGGATTTGCTACTCCCGCCGCTGCGCTGCGTCTATTGACTCTATTCTAGAAAGAGGCTTTGAAGGGAGAAAGGAGAGAAATCAAGAGTATCACACGCCCAATGAAACTTCGTATTTCTACTGTTATACTTCTCCTTTGTTTTTATAAAAATACGTATATATTTGTAGAATCATAATTGCCCTAGTCCATCATCAAAAAATAATAATAATAATTGCCCTAGTCCTACATGACTAAAGTCAAAACTATGCATCTTGAGTTATAAAATTATGCACTTTAAAATATAAAATAATGCAATTATATTTATACTGATCTACTTTAAACTATAAAAGTGACACACATTAACTTTAAATATATGCACTTTAAAAATAAAACGACGCAATTTAATAAGAAAAACAACACATCTTAGGGCTTAAGCTATTAAAAATGCACCTAAAACTTTAGACTGATGCATCTTAAATTATAAAATTATCGTACCTTAAGCTTTAAATATACGTACCGTATAAAGAAAAACGACACACTTTAAGTTATGGAAAAACACACCTTAAAGTTTTAACAAAAAATTCACCTTAAGTTCTCAACTGACTATTGACGCACCTTAAACACATAAATCATGCACCTTAAGAAAGAAAACGACACACCTTAAGTTTGACCAATATGTAAAAATACCAAATTTAAAAAAAAAAAAAAATCTTCAATATGGGCTATTGATTTTGATTAGATCAAGAGTTAAGATTAAACTCCATCTTTTACCTGAAGATTATTACCGCATTTGATCTCTAATATATACACCTGTGTGTGTGTGTGTTACATGTATATATATTTCTATTTAATTTGATTTGTTATGTATTATATAATTTACAACATGATTCATTATACATTGTATTGTATACATAACTATTGTATTTTGAATATTATTGTTGCATACTGAACTTCTTTGGCATATGATTCATTAATTTATAAGTAATTTATTAAAATTTCAAATATTTGTTATGCTTTTTTAATGTTAGTATATAGCAATGATATATTAAATATTTTAAAAAGTGTCATGGAGAAGTTTAAACGAACCAAACATGTTAATTAAATTATTAGGTAGTTTAATTGTTATGTTTCAAACATGTTAATTAATTTTCATTGTAAAATTATTCTCATCAAATATACTTTCAAGAAATATTTCCCCATGAATTTAATTGAAGGGAAAGTATCAAATGGAGAATGACCTCTAAGATTTACATGGAGTTTCGAGTAAATTTACTTTGAATTGGGATGAAGTGTATAGTTAAATTATGATATAACCTGGTTAGTCAAAAATTCAATTATTAAAAAAGAAAAAAAGAAAAAAAAATAATACGAGTATATTTTGATCTTTTAAGTTTGGGAGAATGGTCAAATAGACCCTTTAACTATACGTCAAATTGTAATTAGTCCATAAACTAAGAAAAACTTCATTTAGATACTTTAACTTATCACATTTATGAAATTAAGTTAATTAATAAGTTACTGACATGATAATTGAACAAGGTAATGGATCTATCCCGGTGTGTCTAATCTATCAAAGCAGTCAAACAACAATCAATAGTAAAGAACATGTAAAACAATTACAAAAGCCCGCACATTAAAGCACCAATCGTTATGCTACGGACCCGTGTCCAGCATGCATTGTGGACACGGTAACGGTACCGTTAGTGGCACCGTTATCTTCCACCATTTTTTTATTTTTATTTTTTAATTTCAGACCGCTTCGTTATAGGAGCATATGTTTATAATTTTATCACTATATGTTCATAATGTCAGAGCTCTGTGCTCATAATTCCATAACTGTACATTCATACTTCTATAATTGTACATTCATAATTCCGTAACTGTACATTCATAATTCAATAACTGTAAATTCATAATTTTCGAAGCTCTATGTTCACAATTTTAGAGCTCTATGTTCATAATTTTATCAATATATGTTCATAATTGTAAGTTCATAATGTTATAGCTCTGTGTTCATAATTCCACAATTGTACATTCATACTTCCATAACTGTACATTCATAACTCCGTAACTGTATATTCATAATTCAATAACTGTAAATCCATAATTTTCGAAGCTCTATGTTCATAATTTTATCACTATATGTTCATAATGTCAGAGCTCTGTGTTCATAATTTCATAATTTCATAATTTCATAACTGTAAATTTATAATTCCACAAACGAATAACGCCGTTAACGACGAGATGTGTGTGTGTGTATATATATATATATATATATATATATATATATATATATATAAACTGGAATGCCGTCATTTTCCCTAAAAACAACGTCGTTTTGGACTCGTGTCCACAATGCATTGTAAACACGAGTCCACATCATAATTTGCGTTAAAACATCACCTCACAACGTCACTTATTAGAAAACTGTTTTTATCATTATTGTAATCGTTACAAGTTTATATTATAAAGGGAAAATGACACTTTTTCTCCCTATGTTATATGCTTATAACACTTTTTTCCCCTAAGTTATTCATGCATCCACATTTGCCCCCTCAATTATTATAAAAGTGGCAGTTTTTCCCCCTGATAATATTAAATGGACATTTCTACCCTTAAAATAAATATTTTATTTATTTATCTTCTTCAACAAATTATTGCTTATACCTAGGGATGACCACGGTTCGGTTCGAACTGAACCGAACACTATAGCAATCAAATAAAAAAATTTCGGTTATAATTCACAACTACTAGTAATAGCTTAAATTTAGAATTATAATATTTGCAAATAGTGTATGTTTTTTTTTTTTTTTAACATTTATATTGACTTTCACATATAAGTATATATAATCGTGATTTGGTTTTTATTTTAAATCGTCGATTCACGATTTCGGATCCAATTTGAACTGTTGGTTCAAATTTTATTTTAAAATTTTATTTTTTATTTTTAAAGTATTCGAAAAATTCAAAAATTAATGTATTTTATTTTTTCAAATCGTGGTTATAATTTGTTGGAAAAGAAAAATAAATGAAATATTTATTTTAAGGGTAAATATGTCCATTTAATATATCAGGAGAAAAAATTGCCACTTAAATAATTTAGGAGGAAAAAGTGCTATAAGTATATAACACATGGAGAAAAAGTGTCATTTTTCCTATTATAAAAACTAACCGCATATAAAAGGAGGACACGCTCAAATTCTTGTACACATAACTCATAGTAGTTCTAAAACTACTTTCTATAATTATCGCCTATATAAATTGCACACTGTGACACCAAAGAGCTCGCGTCCGAGAGATCTATCAAATCAAAGAGAAAAAATATGGACGAGCAAGATATCACAATCGGCGAAAATTTCCCTTTATTTTCGCGCAAAAAACTATCGCATAAACCCACAACCACCAATTCCGCCGCCGCCCCTCCCAGCACCGCCGCCGCCGAAAACCCTAAGAAGCTCGACAAGGAGAGCGACTCCAATCCCACCGCCACCAACCACATCTCCTTTTCCGACTTAGGCCTCTCGGAATGGGCCCTCCAGACCTGCAAAGAGCTCGGCATGAAGAAACCTACTCCCGTTCAACGCCACTGCATTCCCAGAATCCTCGCCGGCCAAGACGTCTTGGGCATCGCCCAGACCGGTAGCGGCAAAACGGCGGCCTTCGCCCTTCCTCTCCTCAACCTCCTCGCCCAGGATCCCTACGGAGTGTTCGCTCTCGTCGTCACCCCCACCCGGGAGCTCGCGTGCCAACTCGCCGAGCAGTTTCGCGCCCTGGGTTCCTGCTTGAACTTGCGGTGCGTAGAGGTGGTTGGAGGGATGGATTCCATCAATCAGGCCAAAACTCTTATGCAAAGACCCCACGTTGTAATAGCTACTCCCGGAAGAATCAAAACTCTGCTCCAACAGAATCCTGATATTCCTTCCGTTTTCTCCAAAACCAAGGTAATTAATGTCCATTAATTGTAATTGTTATGAAATGAAACATAGATTAATTGTGATTTAAATGAAACATAGCTCATATTTATATGCACATGTAAACATATAAGACATACACTCATATTGTTCTTTTAATTCGGTGCAGTTTCTAGTTCTAGATGAAGCTGATAGAGTTCTAGATGTTGGTTTTGAAGAGGAACTGAAAGTAATTTTCCAATGTTTGCCAAAGAACCGCCAAACTCTGCTATTTTCTGCAACAATGACTAGTGAATTGCAGACATTGCTTGAGCTTTCTGTGAATAAAGCGTATTTCTATGAGGCATATGAGGGGTTCAAGACTGTAGACTCTCTCAAACAGCAGTATTTATTAACTCCATCAAACATTAAGGAAGTTTCTCTTTTCTGTGTTTTGTCCAAAATGGAAGATATGGGCATTCGATCTGCCATCGTATTTGTTTCCACATGCAGGTACTATCTATTTGGTGCTCTTATTCTGTCGTTTTACTTGTCTTCTTATTGTTTATATCGAGGATCAACAGACAATGCCTGCGTAGAAAAGTTTTCTTTTCAGATTTGATTCATTTATGTAGGAAATTGCTAAAAGGAATTTAATACTAAACACTAACCTGGGGTCTAATCTTGAAAAGAAGATAGTGTTGTAGAAGAAAGAGTTTTATGCTCTAGTCTTGAAAAGAAGATGAGAAGATAACGGTATTTGATCTGGAAAATATTAACCTTTTGGAGAAGTATGCTGACCTTTAACTCTCTTCGTGATCACTTCTTTATGTCGGAAAAGTCACAGATGCTGTTTTGTGGTTGAGCAGGACTTGCCATTTTTTAAGCTTGTTATTGGAAGAACTTGATCTGGAAGCTGCTGCATTGCACTCGTTCAAGTCTCAGTCTTTGAGGCTCTCTGCACTTCATAAATTCAAATCTGGGAAGGTCCCTATCTTACTCGCAACTGATGTTGCCAGCCGTGGTTTAGACATTCCAACAGTTGATCTAGTGATAAATTATGATCTCCCAAGGTTGTAAACTTGATAAGATCTCGTAATGTTGCCAACAATGATGTAGCAGTTCCTTATGCTGACTTGCCATTGTTCTACTACAGGTATCCACGCGATTATGTTCATCGTGTTGGTAGAACTGCAAGAGCAGGTAGAGGAGGGCTTGCTGCTAGTATAGTTACAGAGGCAAGAAGTCAATACACTTCTTCTTTGACAAACCTTTTTTTTTTCTCCAGATTTTTAGCGTAACACGAACTTTCTTCTTTTGCTTTGTATTTCCTCTGTTGAGTTTTGACAAGTTGCATATTTGCGCTTTCCCGTGATACTGCAGTATGATGTGGAACTACTTCATGAAATAGAAGCTGTCCTTGGCAAACAATTGGAGGAGTTTGAATGCAAGGACAAAGATTCTAATGATAATATCACAAAGGTATATGACTGTTTTGTGTCCATAACACAAATATTCGGCTAGTCCTGCCTTGTCCTAATATTCTGATTGCTCGTGAAGTTAATCATACTTTTCTTATACATGCCTTGAATCTCGAAGTGTTTGAGATTGATTGATCTTCATGTTTTGACAGAATTCAAAATCTAGGATTTTTGCTGCAACTTTCTGAACTTAGTTGTTTTCAGGTCTTCAAGGCTAGGCGTGTAGCAATAATGAAGATGATGGACGATGGGTTTGAGGAGAAAGCAAAATCCCGAAAAGCTCAGAAACTTAAGATGCTAGAAGAGAAAGGTTTGTTAAAGAACAAAAAGCGAAAGAGAGATAGAACTGGTATGCACTAGAAGAATGAATGCTTATAAAGGCAAGCAGAATGGCAATATCTTTTTCCTTTTGATTTTCTTTATTATAATTTTTGTTGTATTTTTGTTTCTTAGTCTACATCATAATTTCATTGTAGCTCATAGAATGACATAGTGACATACTGCATCAAGAAAATTCATTTACATTGTTAACTTGAGGAAGACACATTAGCCCTAATGAACACATTATGAACATCATATGTTCCTTGGTTACCTTAAAAAAATCAGCTAGCCACTCTTGACTCTACCATACACTTTAAGTATATTAAAAAAATAAAAATAAAAATAAAAGTGTAGAATATGGATCTTGTTTGGCAGATGAGAGTTCATGGGCTGGAAAGGGGCCTATCAAGGGCTAACTATAGGCCTATTATTTCATGGATCATGGTCCCCTTATAACATAGACAGTGGCAGTGGCATCAGTTATATTAATGCCACTGTAATTAAGTATATGTAATGCCACTGTTCCAGAATATAAGTAATGCCATTGTAATATCTAATCTAAAAACATAATAAGTGTCAATACAAGTTATGTCCTTGATTTTTGTCCCTTTTTTATATGCTAATAAATATATACATTTTGCTTTAATTGTTGTACATTTATTTGCATTGGACAAAATCACCCTTACACCGTTATAACACCGTTAGTTTTTAATATATCTACCAATCTTACCATACACCTACATCTATCCTATCTTTTTCCTATTTTTAATTATCATTTTATTAAAATTATCATATAACAATTAATTTAATTATAAATTATATTTTAATTAAATATTTATATGAATGTTAAATTATATGTGTATCATATATATATATATATATATATATATATATATATATATATATATATATATATTATTTGTGTATCCATATCAATATATCATATATGTGAGTCTTAGCTTAGTATTATTTGTAAATTATTATTATATAAAAATATAATTTTTTTTTTTGTTTTGATCACTATATTATTCAAATATATGATAATTCAAAAGTATCATCGCTTTAAGAAATTGCAAAACATAATTTTAACTAATTTTTTAAATTTTATTACTTCCAAATATTTTAATATTGGGCATAAGTTTTCGCGCATCGCACGTACAAAATGCTAGTGTATATATATATATATATATATATATATATATATATAATAATAATAATAATAATAATAATAATAATAATAATAACTATATATATATAATAACTATTTTGGGGCGAGGCGGGGGGAGGGGTATCCCGTCCCCGATGAAAAATTACACGCATTTCCCGTCCTCGACTATGTTTTCTGAATTTTTTTTTCTTCTATTCTCGTCTCTGTCAGGATGGGAATGGGGATCCCTGTCGAGGACGATGCAGATTGCCATCCCTAAATTATACCAATAACTCTTGGTTTAGTAGTTTAATTAGTTGACCATTCACCTCTAAGATGTTTGAAACCCATATGGAGCAAATTTCATATGTATTTTAGTCCTCATGTATACAAGGCATTAGAGAATTATATATATGATGTTGTAAAATTCTCTTAAATATTGAAATGTGTGTGTATTGTATAAAGAGGAAAGGAGAAAATGCTTCTACATGAAATGTGACAAGATAATGCCCTATCAAAGCTACGATTCAGTACACATTTGTTCTCTGATAGACATGCCTAACACAATAACATATGACAAACTCATCTCTCTCTCTCTCTCTCTTGAGTAACTTTCAAATAGTACTAAATACTAAGGGCATCCTCAATAGTGGGGGTTTTGGTGTAGATTTGAGGAGTTCTTATAGGTGTGATTAGAAAAGAGAAAATGAAAGGGTAGGGAAAAAGAAAAGAAAAAAAAAAACAAAATCAAATTCTAAAAAACAAAAATAAAAAAATAAAAAGTAGATTTACGCGCCCAAGAGTTGCACCTCACATGTGTGAGGCGCAACTCTTTCTTCCCACTGTGGGATCCACACCACTGCAAAACCTTGGGTGCTTGTAGAGTTGCAGAACCACTCCAAGCATTCTCTCTCTTCCAACAAAGCATTGCAACATAAAAATTTGTACAAAATCTCCTTATGGGGTTGCTCTAATCAATTGCTATTGCGAGCCTAAACAAAATGATCTTGATGTGAATTATTAAATATATATTTTTTCTTTTTCATTTTTAAAAGGGAGATCAATAATTGTACTACAATCTTTCAAACAAAAGGAGGACAAAATAGTTTTCATAGGTTTTGACACCACCATGCTGCATGGTCCATGCACAACTTCCATTATAACATTACAATTGTAACCTTGAAAATTACAAATTCGATCTAATGAGTATATCATTCATATCAAGAAAATGTAAGAGGTACATTAGTACATACCTATGACCTAGTTAAGTATAAGTCTGCCAAATTCTGTTAGGACAAATGGACAATAGTGAAAATTAATAGCAACTCCATCACATCCCATCTAAAATGTTATTATTATACACACCCTAGTCAACTCTAGACCAATATATAGGAATTCCAATTTCGTATAATATATCATTCATTTACATTAATATGCTTTGGTACAAGCAAACTAATTCCAACTCATATTAGACAATCCCAATTAAGTTGATCAGGTTGTTAACTTAGTAATGACAAAATTACAAATTTGATTTCCAGGATGAATTATTGATTTTCTTGATTTGAACCGGTCAACTATGAACAACATTACCTCCTCTTAAAAAATAATAACTCATATAACATAGGAACAAGTTGCAGGTTTTCCTCATAATAGTAAATATATATATATATATATATATATATATATATATATATATATAACTCAAATTGAAACTAATGTACTGTTCCAATAAAATCCAGTCACATCGATCATACCGTAAACACTGGTCAAAGTGTTGCGGTTTGAGTAAAAAATGTGACTAAAAAAATCAAGAATTTAAGGTATTAAATGGCCCCATTATTAATCTTGGTTCTGTTGTTCATGAAACGGCGGATTCTGTCGAGTGCAACTTGGAGTGTTTGTTCAGTCATGTTAGCAAAGCAAACTCTGAACCACCCTGGCTCCGAGCAATGGCAAGAAGATCCCGGTGATATATTCAGCTTCACTTCACGCAAGAATTTTTCCCAGATTTCAAGTTCGCATTCCCGCGTGGGTTCCTTCAAGAATGGGCTCAAATTCATCCAGCAAAACAGACCGGCGTTCCCTTTCAGGCAATCGATTCCGGCGGCTTTTAGCCCCTCCACTATCATGTCGTAGCGCCGCCTCAGCCTCTGGCGGTTGGTGTTTATGTAGTGTTGGGTGAAGTCCCTGTCGGAAAGCATGGAAGCCAAGAGCTGCTGCGTGTGCGAGGAGATTAAGGTGAAGCTCGACATTCGTCTGGCGGTCGTCACCACCTTGTCGTTGTAGGAGTATATCGTCCCGACACGGAATCCCGGGAGGCCTAGATCCTTGGACAGGCTGTAGACAATGTGGCATCTTTCGGAATCTTTGTGGTCTCTGGATTCCAGAATCTCTGCAATGCTGACGAATTCGGAGGAGGAGAATGCGGAGCCGGAGTAGATTTCGTCGGATACTAAATGGATGTTCTTCTTCGTCGCGAAATCCAGGATGTCTTCCAGGATTGATCTTTGAATGGTTGCACCCAATGGGTTTGATGGGTTTGTTATTAGTATCCCTCTGACCTTTATCCCCTTGGATTCAGCTTCATTGTATGCTGTCTCTAATGCCGTCCGAGTCACCTGAAAATTGGTTGAACTGTCACAATGGACCGGCACAATCTTCACCCCCGTTCTCCACCTCAAATCTCTATCAAATCTGTAATAAATAGAAAAACACACCATCAGTCAATCAGAACTGTCTCATTAGCCTTAACAGTTGCAATATGAGAGTTTCACCCTCTTGTAGGAGGATCAGATAGGGGTTCTCCCTTACTAATCCTGTCATGTAGTGGGCCCTTGGGATAGGAAATGTAGGGCCCTTAGAGCGACAGATTTCGTTTTTTGTGGACAAAAACAGTAATGTCTTGTTAATTAAAAATATATTTTGTCTAAACTGAAGATTTACCCTGGATAGTATGGGGTTGGAACGAGCAAAGCATCGCCGGGATCAGCTAGAATGAAGGTTAAGAGCTCGTTAGCGGCGGTGGCGCCGGCGGTAATGACAACTCTTTGAGGATCAAATCTTGCTCTCCCACCTCGAATCTGTTCCATGAAGGAAGCCATTGCCTTTCTGAAAGAGATAAGACCATGATAGTCTTGAAACAACGCGTTTTCCCTAAACCCGGAACTGCTTGTTCTGGTTTCCGGGTGCTTCTCCAAGTACTCTTCCAACAAATCAAACGAAACCTAAAACAAACAAACAACAACGTAGTACTCATGTCAACAACATTATATATATTACGTCGTACCATTATTATTATCGTTAATTACGTGTGGTAAGATGATGAAGAAGATCAGAACTTACTTGATTCTCTGCCAAACCCATTTGTATGACTCCCAAAGGGTTATGCTTTTCATGAAAAGGGTCTTCGTCATATGCTTTCCACCCTGCAAAATACGGCGAGTTCTCGCCATGGGTATCAGACACGGCAACCTTTGATAGCTCCACACAAGGTTGTTTTTGTTGCTCAATCTCAATACCCATGGCTAATAAGTATAATATATCTATCTACAGTAATAATATCTTCTCTCTCTTTCTTTGGGAGAGAGAGAGAGAGAGATGGGGTATATGTAAAATGGAAGGAAGAGCTAGCAGAAGAGAAGTGTGGGATAGAATGAAGGGTTTTGTGAAAGGGCCTCTATATATATAGAGGAAACTAAGCTAAAATAAGATCAAAATTCAGCTTTTAGGAATACTACATGTATATAATATATAATGATTAAATATTGGTTGGTGACAACTGGTATATATTTTTCATAGCATTTCTATATCTCAATCTTCATAAGATTCCCTCAGCAGATATAGTGGTTGATGGGGGTGGTGTTTTTAACTTAACAAAACTATACCGCCGCCCATTGATTGTCTACTTTTTCTTCTTTTCTTAAAATTTTTTAACACTTGCTTGATCTCAATTCATTATGTAAACAACAATTGCTTTTGAGATAACTATCTATATATAGGATGTAAATCCTAGTGCAATATAATATGAACAAAACATGCCATCCACTTATATATGTTCTAGACTTAGTTTACCCGGCCTCATGCATTATATATTGTTTAATTTCTAAAGTAATACTGATGTCATCCAAGAACAACTTAATTAGCCGACCAACCTAAAAGAAGTTGATAGTTATAGGTTCGATTATATTCTTAGGATCGATGTGTTGTGGGTACTAGTATACAAGCATTTGGATAGCCGCGCCGATGAATAAGTTTTTTTTATTTGGACGATGAGGGAAACTCGCAGTTAGTACCGAGGTGTACATGTACTAGGTAAATCCATTCATGTGTAATAGCCTACAAACCACACATATTTTGGAATGGCAAGTCAAATTCGGAATCACTACCTAATAGCCTACAAACCACACATATTTTGGAATGGCAAGTCAAATTCGGAATCACTACCGAGGTGTACAACACGTAGTAGCTAGGTAAACTCCGCTCCGGTATAATAACTTGCACTCTACATACTATACAAATGAGAGGTGAATTGCACTATCTAGGAAGACCTTATACGATGAGCTCGATTAAGAGGGTGTTGGTCAGAATCGAAATTGTGACAGTACATTTAGGTACGAGAATCCTGAGTTACTCTTGGTCTTAGACTTTTGTAACATATATACTAATATTGTCACTTTTAATGTTTGATTTTAAAATCAACCAGAAACAATATGCTATTATGGTCAAAATATTTCGAGTTTCTTTCAACATCTATATCAGTAACATAATAGAATTTCTTTTGACATATATATATATATATATATATATATATATATATATATATATAACTTAAAGTTCAAATTAATATTTTCAAAAAAATATATATTTTACATTTATAAAAGCATATTCAAATATTATACCCACCAATTAATACCTAAATCAACATAATTAAATTATTTTTAAAGTTAAATACTATAATTAAATATAATTGTCAGAAGACATAAATATTTGATTTTTTAAAAACCAATAAGCCTAAATATGATAATTGTAAAAAGTATTTGCACTTAACGAGATTCGTAGTATATTAAAATAATGTAATTTGCATTAAGACACATGTCAATAATGATCATTTGGATTAGGTACTAAATTGGGTTTAAGGTACATTAATTAGGAAGGAAGCGGCTTCAAAAGCATGATGGATATATTTAATAATATAATATACATTATATCATTGCAATCTAATTAAGTAATATATATAGTTAAAGACTTAATTAAAGTACTTCCTTAAAAAAAAAAAAGACTTAAGTACTAAATACTAGCTGAATCACGAACTTTGATTAGAGTGTTTAGAATTGAATTTCATTTTCTTTAAACCAAGTTTTAAGTTCGTTCTGTGGATGGAGTAATAACTTTAAAAAAAAAAAAAAAAAAACTTTTATGTGCCAGGAGCAATTCTAAACACTTATTATTATGTCAAAAATTATACGAGTAATTAGTAATAAAAGTGTAATTTTATTTTTTTTATACGCGCAATTGACCATGTGATCTCTTCAGGATTAAGTGCTTATCATTACGCCAAAATATATAACTAGCTAGTAGCGAATGCACAATTTTAAGGTTGAATCTCCAACCCTAAACGCCTCCACGCTCCGACACGACAGAACTGCCGCTAGTAAGACTCGATCTCAAGTTATTATTTTCAAATTTAACCCCTATGACTAATTGAGCTGCCTATGCGAGTAATCGACATTGTATTGATTCGACGTTGTATAATTTTTTTTGAGAGCTACTGACTCTATTACATTGTAGTATCTATTCATCTATACTTTCTCAACATATTAAAGCACAAAGAGTCAACACCGTCTCCACTGATAAATGATAATAATCTCTTACGAGAGGATAGAAATTAGAAAATAAAAAGAGCGCTAAATACTAAGCAGTCAATGGGTCAAAACTGCATAATACTAGACAGCTAGCATGTATTAAAGTGGGGAAAAAAATGTTATCCTATGAATGCAACTTATAAACTACACTACTACTCACTTCATTATTGATTCTTGTCATGCAATCTATTAATGGCAAATCTCATGTTGAGCGATTCTTGCACATGGATCACCCACTCTCTTGATATATTTTAATGAATATTGTGTTGGTAATTTTATCAAAATTGACATTTTGAGTGACATTTTGTGGAACAAATGTATGTGGCGTCTATTTTTTATCTGTATTAGATTCAAGTATATTCGAGTTTGACAAAGAAATCAATATATTATATGCTTATTAAAATTGATAATGGATAAATTTGAAATTGATTATCAAAATATACTCATTTGAGTTAGAAAAAAAATGAAATAACGGGAATATTATTTGGAAGAAGTTTTTGTCCCACATTGAAAAAGGAATGCGAGTTTGCACTAATATATTACGATTCACTTTTTGAAATAATTTGAATTGTATAGCACTCTCTCACGCGCATGGTATCTCAATATAGTTAGGTGAAACATAGAGCTAGGGTTCGTCATAGGTATATGTACTAGCACTTGATCTTGACAATATGCAAAGATATAATTTTTAATGATTTATCTTGATAGAATTCAATTGCATTGCTGACATGATATGTATTAAAAGTTTTATTTTTCAGTTGTCATGCTAATTGGGAGAAAAAATTCAAATGCTTTACGTGTTGGGAGACGGTTTGAAGAGCTAGATCCATCATCATGCCATCGAAAAGTAGGACAAAAAAATAAAACCGTTACCATCGCTTCATCCTGACAATTTGCAAAGAATTTTTTTTAATGATTTATCTTGATAGAATTCAATTGCATTGCTTACATGATATGCATTAAAAGTTTTATTTTTCAGTTGTCATGCTAATTGGGAGAACAAATTCAAATGCTTTTAATAGTTTAATTGTACACCGTTGAAATTTAGTGGTTTAATTGCACAATAGTTATAAATTTAATTGGATATTTGACACTTTTATTACTTAAATGTTTTGGCATATTATTCTATGTTTGAATCCGAGATAGTACATTATTGAAGTAACACTAGAACTCTTTCAATTTAATAAAGCCCTTGGCTGGTTTGCAAATAATTATTATTTTTAAATATTCAATACGTACAACAGAATTTTCAGACATAATTACATAAATAGACATATAATTAGACATACCTAATAGAGTCAAAATGCGACTTTCATCATTAGTCAACAAGTGATAATTAAGGTTAATCCTTGGGATTGCAGAACTTAACCCCTAATGATTGCCAATGATTAGGTGATGATTCATGATTAACAAAACCTAAATCTGAGTTTTCAGTTGCTTTAATAATTAATCATATCATTATATTGTGGACCATCATGTGCAAAATGGACCAGTGACATACATTGCATGTTTATTTTTAAAATACAAAATGTTCATTTTCATTGCATTACATATTAATTTTTAAAAATTTACTCTTAATGTTATATATGTAGTTTCATTTTTAGTATATTGCTTAAAAATTAATATTTATATGTGATTGCATTTACAATGTGAATTATGGTCGATAGTAAGAGTTGAAATTGGCATTAATTAATGTAGGGAATGGGGCCATCACGAGGGTGTTTGGTAAATAGTTTTTAGCTGTTAGCTGATTAAGTTAGTGAGTTTGACTAGTTGATAACATTAGCTGATTGTTGAAAGATGTTTGGTAAATTAGTTGTTAACTGATTAAATGCAAAATAAATTTTTCAAAAAGCTGATCAAAAAATTATTTTGAACAGTTTTATGAATTTTAGTGTTTTATTGCAATAAGATGATACAAAAAACTAATTAATCAAACACTCACTGTGTCCGACTGTGGAAATCTTGAGTATACCAAACAAAAAATTGTTTGTTTAACCAAGTCAAAAAACTAATATTGGTCAAACTCGTCAAAATTGACTGATACGCTAACTATGTTACCAAACAGGGCCACATCTTCTAATAGTTTTTTATTTATTTATTTTTTAATTTTAATGTTTGGTATACAAATCAGAAATCAGAATTTTAATGATCTTATGCAAGTAGTATCTTTGTCAAGCCGGCCATTGCTCACTGCCTCATTGGTCACTGTGCAACTTAACTACTATTGGATCTTCACAATTATTTGCTTTCACAAGGACTATATATATGCTTATCCAATATCTTTCTCGATTTTCTTCTATCTTTTTTTTTTTTCAATAATTAAATAATTCAAATTAAATATTATAAAAATAATGATTTTTTTTTTGTTCACAAATTAAAAATATATTATATTTCTTTCAATTTTTAGCACAACCGTGTTCATCGGACAATTAGTTTGATAACTACAAAATTCAAATTTTACTCTTTAATTGATTGGCCTTGCAAAATTTAATTGTCGGCTACGAAACATGGAACTGGTGCACGATATAACGATTGGTAATTAAGGGGGCATTGAGCTCCCCTTTTAAAGAGGGATCGAAGTTCAACGACCTCTTTTAATTACTTTCTCGATGTGGATCCAACATCAGTTTTTTTTTTTTTTTTTTTTTTTTTAAATTA